GTCCACTTCGGAAAGTCCTGTGGAATTGCAGATGAAACTGTCGTCAATAAAGTTGATGTCAGCCGGTTGAAATGTTTGAGATTAATGTGCCGCCAGAAGGTTAGCGGCGTCGCCATCTTTGTTGGTCGGGCCGTTAAGACCTACCAGTTGAGAAACTCCTGTTTTGGCTTGACGAAGAGAGGCTGCATAACGGAATAGGCTTCTAGGGTCAGAGGCAAATTTGTCCATAAGCTTTGTCTGGTACTGAAGCCCTTCTTCTCTTACAGCCTTCGTGCATATGTTCGTGATATGTTTATATTGCCTATACGCTCTGTCGTTATCAGTTCGTTTGTATTCCGCCCAACAGCGCCTTTTGCGGCTTAGCAGACGAAGGGTACGGTTCTTGATTACTGTAGGTGGCTTGCAGCTTTTGGGAACCGTTTGAGGAACTGAATGGTCTGTAGCACATAAGAGCGTGTGCAGCAAGAAGTCCCAATGACCATCCACATCGATTTGAGGGTGAACATCCCAAGCCACCTGTTGTAGATGGTCATGTAGAGCTCGCACATTCAGCCGTTTAAAATTCCATCGCAAATTATTGTTGGGATACCTTAGCTTAGTTTTGATGACAAAACTGAAGGCTATGACGGCATGATCGCTTTTTCCCAGAGGAGCCAGGATTGAGAGGTTGTCGACTAGGAATTCTTCGTTAGTGAATACACAGTCTAAGCGCGATGGTGTCTGACTGTTTCTCCAACGAGTTGCCGACCTCACATTTTCATATAAGCCCAAGTTATCGATGAGGTTGAAGAACCGAGCTTCAGTTGAGTTGTCGCCTCCAGTGTACGTGTGTTCCGCGAAGTTGACTCTAGGGAGATTAAAGTCCCCTAGAATCAGGATGTGTGTGAAACCGAGACGGATAGAGCGGGATAGTCCTTCCAGCATACGACTATCGTACTCGGTGTCGGCAGTTGGCTTCCTATAAATGACTCCGACTAGACACCTGGAAGTACTAGACAACCTTACAGAGCACCATATGGATTCCTCAAGATTGTTAAACTCGAGGTTGTGAACCTGGTGCACCTCCAAGCAAGAGCTTATGTATATGGCTACTCCGCCCCCAATTCCTATTTTTCTGTCGTTGCGGAACAAAGTCATCCCAGGCAATGCTAACTCTTGATCCGAGAACTGAGAGGATATCCAGGTTTCAGATATTCCTATCAGATGGGCCTTGTTAGCGTTGCTAAGTTCACGTAGTTCATCCAGTTTGTTTGGTAAACTCGCGGCGTTCATATATAAGCAGTTTATGCTTTCAATTTGGAACGCATGAGCTTCGTCCTGTTTTTCTGTATGAACCTTATGTGAATGGACAGGTAGCCCACCTATATGAGGTTTGCCGAGGTGGTAGGCCCTGTCCTTTACACGTTTTTTTTATCGTTTAGACAGTCCACAAGTGGAATGGTCAGCTCCAGCTTGCCTTTGTTCTTGGTCCTGACTTCGTATGGCCTATCCGGGTGCATGTGGATTCCAGGTGGCAATCGACGTCTATTAGCACGAAATGCTTCCAGAACTGCAGCCGCCATGTGGGAAGATGGGAAGGTTATCTTCATTAGGCGGGGTCTAAGATCACCGTCCTTCTTGGCTAGTCTCGTCACATGCTGAGTCAGTATGTGTTTGAGCCTCAAGGACTGTTTGATGAATTTCCATTCCCTGATGTCAGAATTTGATTGAGTAATGTCTGCATTTTCCGGTATACCTTGCACAATTATGTTTCTTCCGCGGAAAACCTCGCGAGATTCTTTAGGGATGTTCCGTATGACATTGCGCTCAGAGTACGGTATGTCGGGCAATATTCTTACGTTACCATCTGATTTCAGAAAGTGACTTGCTAGCAAGACGTCCTCTACGTCGGTATCATTCTTAAGTGTTACTTGGAGAAGCCTCGGATGATGTAGATGCTTAGAATTTTTTCCTCCAGTGAGCCGGGTGACCGTCAAAGTCTCTATTCTAGGAAGTTCGAGCTACTTGTCCAATTCACCTCAGAGCATCCTGTCATTTTTGTCCTGTAGACTGAGAGGAAGGTCAGGATTGTCAACGAGGTTCATGATAATGAGAGAATCGTCACGAACTGTTGTTAATTTACAAGGTTACACGATGGGTTCAGGTTTAATAACTTGTTGTTTGGAGGTCAGTGCGCGTTTTTGAGTCTTGGGCTCTTTATTGACCGGACGAACAGTCTTGGGGATAGACTGTGCGACCAAATCCCCACTTATTTTCCGTGCAGCAACACTTGGGTTGCTCGGCTTAGGCGGTGATGCCTGGTTCTTTTGGGCTCTCTTAACGTGGGTCGAATCATTTACAGGGTTTTTGGGAACCACTGTTGTGTTCAGGGACCCTGAGCTGGGAGACCCGAGTTTGCTTAGGGAGTCTAGTACCGTCGACGTGATGATGGTGCTGAGCCTCGACACGTCGTCATTAGTGTTGATGGATGCTCCATCGATGGTATACCTATCGACATCCCTATTTTTGAGTCCGTCGCACGCTCTTGTTTGTCGACCGGTTTTTTTTACTATCGTTAACCAAGTTAACTGACTTGTTCCGAAGACCTGTCAGAAGGACAGTGATGTTACTCAGCAAGACTACTGCGTCCGTGCTGCACGTGACACATACCCACTTTTGGTCTGACTTGCTGAGTCTGTTGTAAGCAGTTGCTGTCAGATCTGTGCATGCTTCGTGGAACCAACCTTTGCAGTTGTCGCACTGCATGCCAGTTGTAACAGCAAAACAGCATCCCGGACGTTTGCATGATTTTTTCATGACTATGTTGAAGCGAACTATGTTATGGATGCTTGCGAAAGCCTAAGACCTTTAAAAAACACTAAAAGGCACACTGAAAACGGACAAAAATGGATAAAACGAGTGATATAAACTGAAACTGGTCTGTACGTGAAAAACAAAAACAAACCGAATAGTAAGCTGAGGCAAAACCACAGGTAACTATTAAACATGGTGAAACTAAAAAAAAGTAATCTACCGAACGTATAGCTCAGGATAGATTCTTTAGAACTGAAATGGTACTTTTGTTGCGTAAGAACACAGCAAAAGTTTGATAAATGCAATTCAAACCTTAGTTTGGATCCAACAAATAAATCAGCTTTTACTCAACCTTTCTACCGTCGATGCATTACATCTGGTCCTCAATGATTCGTCTACTGAAGAGAAACACTTGGAATTGAATAAAAGGATGTGAAGCAGGTTTTTGCATATTGAAGACTATTATTAATTATTGTCCTTTCATGTCAATCATTGTATCTGAGGGTACTTCAGCTTTTGGACTCGGCGCTGTCATCTCATATCAACTTCTGAACGCGTTAGAAAAGTCTATTATGCATTCATCCCACACATCAACTCCGGCAGAAAATTACAGTCAGATAGAGAAGGAGGCATTAGCCCTTGTCTTTGCTGTGTCTCGTTCCCACAAGTTTTTATATAGTTGAACATTTACTCTACTAACAGGTCATAACCGTCTCCTGAAATTTGTTTGCTTGAACTCTGTTATTCAAAGCCATTCTTTAAGTCGTCCCCATGGTCAGGCAGAGGCTTTGTCACGACCTATCAAAGAAAGACATGGTTATCGTCTCTCTTTCAACAGAAGACCACGCAGGATTTTGCTTGACTACTGCCATTCGTGGTGACATGGAGCCTGATATTTGGAGAGACATTGATTGTGCCAGAATCCCTGTAATCTAATGTTTTGTAGTAGTTTCGTACTGGGCTGAGAATGGCCCACAGCCTGATGCTGCCAAGAACGACACCACTATAGACTAAGTTTCAGGAGCTACCGACGTACGAGGTTGGATGTCCGGTGTTCGTTTCAGAATACAGACCAAACCATGATCTTTGGGCAGACGTACGTGTGGTCAGAATGCGGATACTTGTCATGTATGAAGTGGAGGTGAGAAGAGACAGGTAGACTCAGTACGAGAGCCATAAACGTGAACGGTTAGCCCCGGATCTCCCATTGATAAACATAGATCTATCGCCTGACGTTCTGATAGACACCTTCAAAGTAAGACGGTCGCAAAGATAGACGTTCATAAACAAATCGACCAACGTCCCAGGAGGTGGTCACATCGACAACAACTACAAACAGTCAGGATGTAAGTAAACACCCAGCAAATAAGCTATTAAAAATGGAGTGGTGCCAAACTTATTCTTTTTGTGATTTAACTGTAGAAATCCGAGTTACAAGTTTTCTCGCCAAAATTTCATTTTTTATCTTCAGTTTGTGTTTCCCATCTGGAAGTGTGTTAAACGTCATTGGTTAGTTCTTGCTTCCAGAACGTTATCTTGTGACATTTTTCAAGGATATTTTGTCGCATATAACGCATGAGTTATGTACTTGATGTTTGGTCTTTCAGGATGCTTATGGAACTGTATATATATATATTTGGATGTATCTAGCCTTCTTCCTCTAGTTGACAGAGGAATAGCTAGGTTTGTCCTGTTGTTGAGTCGTTGACTTTCGTGCTGCTCGCGGGTCCTAAGTGATATCTTTATCTCTCGAACATAGCAATAGAGCTTTTCACAAGCTGTGTTTTATACTCTCTCCTGAGTCTTTCCAGGGTTAAGGGGTTACATTTATGATTTAACGCTATAGAGGCTGCTTTGGTTAGTACCTGGTGGCCTAATATACTTTAACAGCATTTTGTTTTGAAGAGAAAAGGATTTGAGTTTTAGTCCGAAGGAAGTTGAATATTTACGAGGTCCACTCCATAGTACTCTGAGTTGGCAACTTATCTGGATAAACCCCTTAAGACTGTTCAGTCGATTCTCACATAGACTTCAATTTTGATTGTCCATGATCCTGTGTGCATGAGGATTTGGACATTTGCCTCATACGCTTTTACACTAGCTGCGACTGATTCGTCATTATTGGCTGAGGTAGGAACGTTAAAACTTTACAAAGTGGTAACACATGATCTAAGTTTGTGAAGTGCTACAGACTGCACGGATTAATAGGTTGATAGACATCATATCCTCACTACTGATGTATTGGACAAGCAGATGAAGGTCATCCACTTTCAGTACTTGCGTTATAATAGTCATTATCCATTACTTTGTGATCTAATTACGTAACTCGAGAGGAGTGTGTTATGTCTTCTGATGTTATTCTAAATTATTACGAGTCCCTTCTACACAGAGATGATCTAGATACTTTGAAGGAGGGTTGTTTCGTCAATGATAACATAATCACATTCCATCTGGAGTACCTTCGCCATACAAAATTATGCCACTCGTCAAATATTCTTCTTATGGATCCAGCAGCATCTCAACTTTTAAAATTGATGGATGAGGAATCAATTAGATTGGTGCTGGATCCTCTAGAATTCAAGTCAAAGGATTGGGTATTTTTAGTGATCAATGATTCTGCTTCACGAGTTTCATCTGGTGGATGTCATTGGTCACTGCTGGTTTATTCACCACTTCTTGTACACGGTTTTTACCTGGACTCCCTGAACTCTAGTCCTAATTTTTCAGAGGCGATCACTTTGTGTAACAAGTTATGCACCTATTTAGGTGTTTCTTTTGTAGATATAAAGCTACCTAATGTCATAAAGCAAAACAACGGATATGATTGTGGAATATTTTGCATGGTATTCATAGAAATAATCTGTGATATGATATTGAAAGGTGATATGTCCTGGCAGATGAGTCTATCCACTGACATGGTTTCCCATCAAGTAATGCACAAAAGGAAATCGTTACTAGAGTGTATCTATGGCTTATCCACAGCAAATGCGTAGGTTTGTCGCCAAAATTTCTAAAAGGGTCGTGAACTAGCAAACATAAACAGACCTGGTGTCTGTTTGGCGTTTTCTCATTTACAGACTGTTCATGTGTTAAATTTTATCCTAATATACACTGTAAAAAATATTTCTTTGTTCAGAAGTTATAACCAATAATGCGTTTGCCTGCTTGGGGTCATCACGCAGACGGAGATTAGGGTGTATTTAGACTTGCTCTTTGTCTTTATTCGACATATCTGGTGGGTCAATTAGTCCCTGTAGGGTTTGCAGATGCTTTCAGGGCGAAATAGTAAGTTGATTTTTTCCCTAAGATCCCCACATATCTACACTTATATAATAAAATGTCTTGATAACTTAGTATTTATCACTTGCGTCATCCATGGTCTTGGCCTATATTTACCTAGATATTCTATGGTAAGCTTTGTAACCACTTTCTTTGGTGATGTCTTATGTTATCCATGACAATCAATTTAATACAGCCCTATTATTATGATTATTTAAACATATAAACATTGGTACAAGAAGGCACCAAGTAGATATGCGCCACATAAATCATTCGATTTGTGTGAAGACTGTGATACTGCCCGGGTGCCCAGACCGAAGCAGGTGGTTTTCTTAAGGAGCCACACCCCGAGCCTTTGACCTAAAGGTCTAACCCACAAGGCAGTGGAGCATCGTAAGGAGATGCAGTCCCATGTAAGCCGGTGACCAACGGTTGCTTCATACACCATTTGTTTCCGCAGGATACTGGAGCCCATGTGCACCATTGGTTTGAAATCCGGTTAAAGTGCCGGACATTCGCTTTTCGTCCTCTCAATTTCGTAGACAATACCCGTGGTGTGAGAAGGCAGTGAGTAGGACTTCCCTGACAGAGGCTGTATACGCGTGGCCGTGTGAGAGCATTTCGAGAGGGAAGGCGGGCCCACCCCACTCTCGGCCATACCAGGGCATTAGGAGGTCTCACAGTTATATAATATACCCTTGTGGGCCAGGGTAATTTTACATTGGTTCTCAGGAGAACCAAATACCATCCAGACTTTCACGTAAAAACCCAAACAGTGCAGCTCAACCCCGTTTAGCAGGGGAACCAGACACCGTACAGGCTTTAACGCTACAGTCTGAATAGTACAGCTCAATCCTGTGGCGCAACTACACAGGTACCAAGCACCCTGGTGGACCACAGCCCTAAACAATATCAGAGGAACAAATAAGTAACTTCATGTTCTAGTCACTGAACCTCAGAAATATGTAAACGTAGACCCATGAGAACTATATAGTGCTTTCATAAATCCGAGGCACCTCAAATTGAATATACCAGACTTTAAAATAATTTTATGTTGCAGTGATTCTCAGCAAATAACAAATCAAGAGAATCAGCTTTTTTATCAGTTATGGGTTTTGTGGCTAGTGAAAAGATAACTAATTGATTTCCAAGCTAGAAAGCTTAGACTGTATATAACTTCCGGTCAAACGTTTTAGGTATTTAATATTAACTCCCTAACGGTGACGATCATTTCGGAATTAGATGAGGTGTGCTAAGCACTCAAATCACAGGCTTGTCGGAAACTCCGTTTTTAAGTTGATATTTTTGTTGTTTGCAGGAAAATTGGAATGTGGTAAGTCTTTCACTACTAGTTAACATGGACTGGATGGTGTGTTTAAGGAAATTATTGATATTCAATGTATGATTTGTATGGTAGTTGCAAAAAATGTTGCGTGCGACGTAGTTGCGTGGCAGTCCAACTCACCACATCTGATACGAGAATGGTAAGTAAAGATCTTGAGGTAAAAAGAGAAAATGGATTTACAAATGATAATTCTAAATCCAGGAATAACCCAACAGAAAGTGAAAAAAACCAGTGATGAAGATGAAAAGAATGATACGTTCATGGTTCAGAAGAAGAGTAAATATATCTGCATTGACACTACTGATTTTAGGTGATCGCCTTTAGCTTCTGTGGTAGTACTGGCCTGATATCTTACTTATGTTAGTGATTATTATCTTTGGTTCTGGCTAGTGAAAAGTTTGCGTGTTAATAAGTCCCAGGTGTACATGTGTTGTTTTTAGCCGATGATGCAGTAGCGAATGTTATTTGGGAAATCTAAGCTACAATGACTATTTCGTCTCGATAATAAACTTTTTTAATGCTGAAATAAAAATTTGTCATTTCACTATTGAGCTCAGTGCTGTATATTCTTTTTTGTCTTTAAACCATTAAAGTGCGAAGTTCAAGGGAATGGTGTTAAAGTTACTATTGCTATTCACTTAGTAATCAATCATCATGATTTCCAAGGGAAACTTGCTTATGGATCTTATTGTGTTGTTAGCCAAGGGTATTCTACGTCCAGCTTAATTCTATTTCAGCATGGATGTTTTTTATGGATTAGTTTTTGTCACCAACATAAATATTATTCACTTTCTTGGAGATTATCCGATCTTTAACGTATTCAGATACCTGTTTAGATATTAAACTAGCAAATATAAGTTTTTCCATGCTTTCTGCACTTATTAAGTATGGTATTTGATCCTGCCCATCCCTAACATAAATGTAGAAAGCGAATTGATTAATCTCTTTTTCCGTTCTGCTTATACAAGTGTTGACGCTGATTCTCATAGAAAAAACATAGAGCTACACAAGTAAGCCACTTCACCTGTAAGACAAAATCTTTGAACTTAAAGTGTGCTCTTAAATGGTTTGCATCTAGAATTGCTTTGAAATACTGTTAGAAGGTATTACAGCTAAAACTGATCAATTATTCTGTAGTGTTCTACATTATTATTTGTGTTTGTGGGTCACAAGAGCTTGTGTATTCGATTAGTGCTTTATTTTCTGCTAAGATTATTCTTTTTTTAATGAATTTTTTCATCTTAGCAATTTTGTTACTTGTAGATGATTAATCCCACCAAATGTATTCATCCAATTGTTTATTGGGGTCAGTCGGAAGAATATGTATTTCTTTCTATTAAAGTAGCCAATGCAAATGTATGTTCACCTTGATCTTCAATCAGTAGATGCTTAGGTTGATTCGATTGTTATCAACCAAGAAGACTTTATGTTTTCTGCAATGGGCACTGGAGCTGATGGTGTTAATAAATATGAATTTTCTATCTCATATTATCTCCCTATAATCCCTGAAGTAAGTTCTTATGTTTAAGATGTATTCTAGTTGATTTTATTCTCTTTTTATTTCCCACCGCTAAATTTCTATCAAGCTGCTTCATCGTTACAATAATTAAACCTGCTTATTTCATTTCAGCTTGATTATCCTGAAAGAAACACTTGCTTCCGTGATTAGACCGTTCCTTTTTCTATGATGATAAAATGATTTGCAACTTGATCACCTACATCATAGAAAGAAAATTCAGAGGTGATTATGAGTTAAAAGCCTTCAACAAATAAATATCTTAACGAAACAAAAAGGAAAAGTTGCCAGTAATGATAAAAAAGAAGAAATACCAAAACAAATGAAAAGAAGTGAATTGTGTTTTTGCCATGCGTAATAGGCTGTTCGGTTTTACGCTAATCTGTTAGGTGATATAATTACTACAGAACTCATTTTGAGCCATTTCTAAGTGATCTTAATCAACACGTATCATTTTATAATTTGTCAATAAATCTCAGACTTTCTCATATGGTTTAAATCAATGACCGATGACTTGTTTGTCTAACAAGTTTAATTCGATATTTCAAATCGGAAATGATAGTGGATGTGTATGAATATCATGCATCCCAAACACCATGCGAATTCTATCCCGTAATTCACCAACTCACAAGTTTAAGATAAGTAAAACTAATCTACATCAATTTGTCATAGAATTTAAGTATAGTTGGTGGCTGTATTGTTAGACATGAATTATTAAATTGTAATCTCTAGGATTGAAATATGATAACTCACAACTCTACTACTGCTCCTTAATGTTTCACTAATTATATAGCTCGTTCCCTTTTTTATACCTTTAATACATTATAAACGAGTATCATATTTTTAAGTGAGTACAAGCTCTATGTAACATGAGTATTCTTATCACTGAAATACCACCTTATGTTTGACTAACATAATTTACTTATTTAAAAACGTTTATCTCACTAATATTATAACCTGTGTATTAACTTTTTAGGAAAGTCGATATGTCGTTACAAGTTTATCTGTTAATGTTAAATTACGAAAAGAACTTAAAGATTCATGGTCAAGGTTAACGTTAGGAAATCAGCGTCTACCTTGGGTTCGTCCTGATTTCGATCGTTATCAGTTTAATGACTCTGATTTGGAAAATAATGAAGAAGAATGTCTCAATGTTAACGTTGTACATCCATCAAAAGAGGAGAGAGTAAGTTTATTCTTTATCCATTGTTTATATTTATTCAAAAAAATCACTTAATAAAATATATGAATAGAAATAATCTTTATCAAGGATTGTTTTTATGAGTACATTTCTTTTGCTTAGTGGTTTTCTCATCGTAATAGATCAATCAGATTGATGGAATTTCGATCAGGAGAATTACGACAACTTGAATCAATTTAGAGCACTATACCAGGACTGTTACTTGTCTAACTAATCCATTAGGCTTTAACGTTGATGAAATACACATTAATTTAAATATCATAATCGAAATACTCAGACATTTTAACAAAATTTCTGTATACTGATACAAAATACAGTGTTTTTGCTGATGTCCAGAACGGCAACAAGAACTTTAAAGTTAAACCATATAGCTCGGAGATCATAATCTGTTCACTTAATGGGGAAATTGTCTTAGTCATTACAAAACAAGGTGCTACGATTAGTTTTGATCTTTATCTAGTTTGACCTAGTAATTAAAGCGGTTTGAAAAATCAGTTGCTACACATGTAAATTATGTTTTGTAGTGAATTAAAACACCGTCTATTTTGCAAACATCAGAATCAAGTAGCATGCAAAGGTTTCAGGTATGTTTGACCGTAAGTCTATTCCCAATAGAACAGACAAATCGTATGTTTTATTCAACCGAATTGGTTCACTGTTATCAAGTTTTATCACTATTTTTTTAAATGTAGCAGTTAATCTCCCTTTTTTATGATGTGTTTGGGTTTTAGGATAAGCATAATGCAGAACAAATGATGCTTATTGATGCAGAAGAATGGGAGGCATTTTTGAATCGTAAGTTGTACTTGATATTTTGTGCTAGGCTACTGAAACTAGTCATAATCTTTCATAAAGCTGGCAATATAAAATAATAATATACTTGTGATGGACCAATGGATATAAATTTTAATTTCTCACGTTTTGTGATGTAGTGTAGGCCAGTTCCTCATAGTAAATAAATGGATTAAATTGACATATTTAAATTGTATAAATAAAAAAATGCTGAATATTTAGTTCGGTTGTTTATTTATTATAAAGAAGTGGCTTACACTAAGTCGAAAAGTTTTCAAGATTCAAAATTCCACTCACTGGATATCACAAATACATCATTATTTTGTTATTATTTACATTCTACCCAGTGCTCTATTTATCTAGAATTGTCTATTCAAACCTCTATATCGTTACCTACTGGTGATATCCGTTTTAGTAAAGAAACATATGCGGGTTCACGAAATAAAAGTATAAGATAAATTCAGAACTCAAGATCTAAGGCAATGAAACAAACAAATACATCTAGGCCATTTGAGCCAATGCTAATTCATGTCGCTCGACGTTCTCAGTTATCGGTTACATTTTATTTATTTATTTAAAACACATAAACATTGGTACAAGGAGGCATCAAATATATATTCACCACACAATAACAATGAGACAAGTAGCAGTTATCATTAATATGTGTGGGGGCTGTGATACTGCCCGGGTGCCAAAACCGAAGCAAGGGTTTCCTTAGGGTGACACACCCGGAGCCTTCAACTTAAAGGTCTGATTCATAAGGCAGTAGAGCAACTTTGGGAGATGCAGTCCTATGGTAGCCGGTGACCAACGATTGGTTCACATGCCATTTGTTCCTTTAGGATGTTGGAGCCCACGTGCACCATTGGTTTGGAGTGAGGGTTTACCAACTCCCCTAGGTGGACTCTCCATGTCCACCAACCCAGTTAAGGCGCCGGACATTCACTTTTTGTTCTCTGAATTTCGTAAACTACACTGCCCCTATGAGAAGGCAGTGAGCTGGACTTCCCTGTCAATGGCTGTATACGCGTGGCCATGTGAGAGCATTTCGAGAGGAAGAGCTGACTTTCCCCACCCTTGGCTATACCAGGAAATTCGGGGGCATCGTTACAATAATCACACAGGCTCCAACCAAGTCTGCATCTACCAATACGGCTCAGTCGGATAACCGATAGATTAATAAACTGATGCCGCGTTTTGACTTGATCACCCTTAGCCTTCTTCCAACTTACTCATACACTAATATCAGCGAAGTAAACTATTAATGATTAAACCAAAATAGGTGGGTCGGGGTTCGAATCTGGAATTGATCGGTCTATAGTTTGATGTTTTGGACATCAAACCTCTGTTCCATGGATGTTGTCGGGATTCTTACCTACCCCATATTTTCCCATCTTGTTCGAGTCCCTGTTTTGGTCATGTACTGAGAGTTAAAAACACCTTAATGTCATAGTAGATATAATTTACTACGATTTCTAGTGATAAAGCATTCAATTGATTTTAAACTGTAACTTGATTATTCAAAATCGTAAAGATATGTTGTGCCGGGCGGTCATCTGATACTGATACTGGCAAACACACTATGTGTGAACACAACATGAGTGAGAAAACAAGGGTTCAATAGGAAACTTTATTGAATAGCTGGATCAAATGTGTCCGCATACTCATTCACAGATATTGATGTCTCTCGGATAATCAAGCTAAACTTCGACCAATAACATGCACTCATCAGCACCTATCTTTTGACCCTAAACTGATATCTGATTGCTTGAGCCTACCAATTAGTTTTACTTATTTGAATTCTTTAAATTCCATGTATTATTACTAGTTTCATGACATGCTATTTTTCATCCTTTTTTCAGTGATTAAAAATCCTTTGACAATTTATTTATTCCTCTTTAATGTCATTCAATTCGCCGGTTATCTTTATGTTTGTGGAGCTCTGGTCTATGGATTAATGCAGTATAAAGAAGTGCATAAAATACCATTTTATGAATGGATTATCGATAGATTAGTTTTTGTGCAAATTTTATCAATTTTGGAACCGTTGCATGCTTCATTAGGTTGGATTCGTGGTGGGAGTGCCTTACCTTCAGTTTTTCAGGTAGGTGTGACTGTTTAAAGTGGGGATAGGTTTTACTTCTGCCGTTATGTGGTTTCTCTCATGTAAACTGTAGCTTCAACAGGTAAAATGATCGAATTCTTACTGTATTTCAACTTGACTAGGAGCAGTTCAAAATACCTATTAATGTAAGGGGTTTGTGGTTATTTTTGAGTTTTATGGTTTGCATCACGAATTAGCCTTATTTAGACGACCAGAAAAATACCAGGAAGGACTGGACAGCCGTTTCATTCTATCATAGGACTCTTCAGCAGTTTTCATCCACGGCCCACTATCATGTGCTGAGTAGTAACCAATTCAGAGACATAATTCCTGCAATTCTAGTGGCCAGCGGAGTTCTCAGTCATGTTTAGTGTAAGGGGGTGACCCACCAACCGTATCGGTTGATGAATACATAATAATACGACTTAACTGAAGTCCAGAATGTAAGCCGTTAAATACCGACTCAATAGTTTAAGGGATTCGCGTTTGCCCTGAGTTCTAATCTCTAGTGTGATTGTGCATACTTATTCCTGAGGACGGAACACTTGTCCAGTCCTTCCTGGTTTTCAGTGAATATTGAACTCAGGCTAATTCATAATACAGATTACAAAATTTAAAAAAAATCAATCGCTTGGTTATGTATAGCTTGTGGTTAACGTCTCTTAGAATTTTAGCGCTAATTTTATAAGACGGTGATAAATTCATACTACTATTGTTCAGTTTTTGATTTCTTCAGTAGATAAATTAGAATTTGCTTCAAATTCTAAGCATATAACAAAATCCGCCTGTAAATATAGTAAGAAAATTTCTTCTAAATACTTGTTATGTCAGTTTGATTATGCTTGAATACTGTGAAGCAAGTCAATTTCATTATTTATTTGTGAAGCGTGATTACACAATGTACATATTGAAAACGTTTATTTACTTTTATTTCAGTGATTTATGACTGTAATCACGGTTTTACAGAACTTTCAGACTACAACAGTACATAATTAATATGTTTTGGTTGGAGTGTTTCTATTCTTTGTAGGTGATTTTAAGTTTATACCTAGTGAATTGTTTGTTACACACTGTTATTTCGTTTGGCGAATAACGATCTTCTTTTGTATAGCGTTTTGCTGGAAAACAGGATTTTAATAGTACTGTAGTGAACGAGAACACAATTGAGGACAACAGAATGTATTTCGATACAAAATTACCGAATCTCTTAGTAAAATCTGAGACCCATACATAATTCATTTTCAAAATGTCAATCAATAGTCTCAGATTTGATCGTTCTTTCGTCTCCACATCAATCATTCTCTGTCCCCGTTCTTTTTCCTTCGATCTTCTTAACCTTCTACCTCCAGACATTTCACTTTCAAATGATGATACATACTACCTATATTTGTCGACATCATCAGCACACACCACAGTACTAACAAAGGAATAGTTTATTTCACCTATTAATACTTATTGTTTCTAGTTTTAATACAAGTATACCAATTGCTGTTCTTATGCCCTAATTTTGTTCTTTATCTGTGGTTGGAAACGAGTGACATGACTTGGAATCAGTCACAATAGAAGTAGATCTATTTACCTATCAGTCTTTCGTTAGATCTTGAGTTTTAAAATTATCATAGGATTTCCTACTCCATTAATTCATTGTTCATTTTTCATTGAATCATATGGCGTGTACTCAATCTTTTGTACTACGACTGATACTATTACTACCTCATCTACTTTGAAATTTGTCTTGGTAATTTCATGTTTCCACTGCTGATATAGTGGGGTAGTTTTATTTATTTATTTGAACGCGTTCAAACCGAAGCGAGTGGTTTACTTAGGGGGCCACTCCACGAGCCTTTGACCTAGAGATCTAATCCAAAGACAGTGGAGCAGCGTTAGTAGATGCAGTCCTATGGTAGCCAATGACTATTAATAGGTTCATACACCATTTGTTTTCCCAGGATCCCGGAGCCCATGTACACCATTGGCTTGGAATGAAGTTTTTCCAACTCTCCTAAGTGGATCCTCCATACTCATCAACCCGCTTAAAGCGTCGGACATTCGTTTTTCGCCACGAAAAGTCAGTGAGTAGGACTTCCCTGTCAGTGGTTGTATGTACGTGGCCATGTGATAGCATTTCGAGATGGTGAGCTGACTCTCCCCATCGTCAGCCTTACTAAGGCATTCGAGGGCATAACCGGTACTCATATTATTGTTAAAATAAAAACTGTCTATGATCTTGTGATATTCTTGTTAGTTTGGTTCAAATATAGGCAAACGTTTTTGAATAATATCTAAACATGAATACAAATGCTGTACATGGCGTACTACACTTATTAAATGTCAACATTTTTAACATTAAATGACTGATACGCGACATTTATTAATGGAAGTAACACTTACTTACGTAATCATTAATGTTAACAGTGGTTGTTTACCAATAGGATAAACGTGACATGGGATAGTTTTTTCTGCTAGTGTTTTGCAATCAACAATCAATTTTCAGATTGTAGTTCTTGTTTCTAGATTTAGATCTGTTAATTGAAATTTAAAATTCGACTGATTGAAGTCTATACACAGCAAATCTTGTCCACGAATATTAGTTGACTTCGAAAAGTTAACATTTCGCCTACAAAATGTTCTAGATTGTAAAACTTATCAGTGAATGAATATAATCCAGTTCATGTTGTATGTTTTAGGTGTTCATTTTAACTATTATCTTCCTGGTTTATTTGTTCTGTTTGAAGATCATGACCTCAATGTTAAAAGTAAAGGGAGGAGTCATTCAATCAAACTCTAGTCTAAATCTTCAAATTGTCATAAAAACTCACTCTTGAATGTTTTAATCTGATGAATATGTTTCCGTGCAAATTACCATAAGATCGTTTAAGAATCATCATAAACCACTATGCAACATATTAAGTATTATGTAGCATTTTTACATAAAGAATTATGTTTTTTCTAAAATAATTCCAAATTATCTCACTTCTGACAACTTTCATGCAGACTTATGACTAATCACACCTGTCATATTGTTGTGAACGAGAACGCAGGTGGGAACAACCAACGTTTTTTAACACAAAATTACAGAGTTCTTTGGGGAAATGTGAAAACCATACGTTCAGTACTTCATTTTCAAATCCTCCATCAATTGTCTTAAACGTCATCGTCCTTCATCGCCACAGCAACTACTGTCTGTTCCTGTTCTCTTCAATTCTATCTTCCCAACCTTCTGCTGTCAGACATTCCACTTCCGACTGGTGTTATATATTATATCGACATAAATAGCATACATCGTAATAGTAGTGGGATTAATCCTTTCTTCAGTAATAATCATTTTTGTCCACTTAACTAATATTCTCTTCTGTGATCTAATTATCTACCTCTTATATAAAATTGATCGACCACTAAATAGTCACTTAAATAAATATCACTCAGAGTCGCAGTTGAGTAGGTTTATTTAAACTCTAACGGACTCCTTTTGAGTGTCCTCATGAAATGTAATAACTAGTTTTTCAAGAATAATCTCTGTTACAATATTCGGTTCTTTGTACGCTTACTTAGCTTTTTAATGGTTTTTAAAATTAAAACCAAAAATTTTTATTCATAAATTTTTTTGTATTCTGCCCATAGTTGTTTGGTCGTTCCCTTGTTTTGTTTTGTATTGTATTGCCACATGCTGAATTCCATTCTGCGTCTACAACTTATTGGCTTTTCTTTTCATGGAGTCTCATCGAAGTTGTTAGGTAAGTGATCTGCGCCCACTTTAAACCGAACATCTCATCATCCCATCGGTAATATTGTATTTTTAGTTTTCATGAGAAGTACGACCTTGTGAGGTGCTTTTACATTGTAGAGCATTTTCCATCTCTTATTAGCTGTTATGTTAGCGAGTCTCTTTTGATATGTGTAACGGTTTTCGTAGATGGCATTCGTCATGACACTAGTTGAGGTGCTATCGAGAACCAAGGAAGATAGAACAGCTGTTTCACCCTAATACAGACTTGTCACTAAGTCACACTTGACTGGACACTTGTGAATCAAGACATAAATGCCCACCACAATTATTTGAAACCAGCGAAACGAAACTTTCCAAACTCCACCGATAGGTACACCTCAGTAAATTGCAGAGTATAAAGTTACAGGAAAAGGTGTCGAGACATGCATAGTCCTACGGGTACACACTGTGAATGGAGCGTTATTTTGATTTTTTTTTATTTAGGTCTCGATAAAAGCGACTGTCCGTCGATATCGATCTATGACCTTAGTCATGTCTTTCTTAAAAACCTCAAAGTAATTCAGTTAAAAGCCTTTTTTCCTTAAAAAACAATAAATCTGTCCTTTTGGTTGTCAGGGTCTTTTAAAGTTTAGATGCTTTGTATAACCTTGTTTTTATTGTTCTATAATAAGTCTGTTCAATACTATATGTCTAGTACAATATGGGATTTTCAGCGCATACAATATTTATTCGTTTTATATCACAAAAACAATGAAATAATAGGTAAGTGCATGCATATGTACATGAAGGAAGTAAATAACCTATCTAGAATCAAATTAAATACTTCAAAGAGACAAAGAATCTATACAACTTTGAATTACTAACACATTCATGAAAATAAGTTTTGATTGGTTCAAGTCTTACAACCTGTTCGTCGTATAGTAGATGTACAAGATACGTTATTATAGAACTTTTGCACTTTTGTTTGCGTGCATAAATTCTAATGTATTAGCATCTCTTCCTACCAGAAGATGTCATTGAAGTAGATGGTTAGTTTTTGAAAAAAAAGCTTCCCATTATTTTGAAAGATTTCAACTGTCTATCCACAATCATATTCATGATAGAATAAAAAGCTTCACCATACATACCTTTCTCAAAACCTCAGGGAAGGATAATAGAGAACAGTAAATAATAATATACAATATTGAAAAAAGCATTTACAAACCGCACAAAGTAAATTTCAAATAATCCTCGACCTCCTCTAGATTCGGTATTTAAGAATAGCTTTCTTATAAATTATCGGTGATAAGTAATGGCGTAAAAATGTGACCTCTCTATATAATGAGTCAGACAAGAAACTTTCTTCAATATTAATAAAACATGAGAATACTAATAGAAGTCCAAGTAAAAATTTACACCAAGAGACGTAGTTTTTATTACAGAATTTCCAATAATACAAACTTTATGAGATTCCAAAAAGGTGTTTTTATGTGCTGTTCATGTCTCAAGCTAATGGTTGATAGCTTGACACTGAAAAGGTTTTAATGTAAGCCTATTAGAAATAGAGTAGTAATGTATATATTAACTCATTCTAAGCGTATTTACTTTCCAGTTTAATGTATGGATATGTAATTGATCATTGAACCGTATTACGATTTACCTGTCCAGTGAATGAATTAAAGAACAAAAACGAAATTCGATATTAACAGGAGAGATTGTGACGTTATTAGTTTATGTGATTAAGGCACTTGATTTTCAATTATTATTTCTCACATATGAACTCTATTTCACGTAATTCGTCTTTGACAACTGATTAGTAAATCATTGCCTACATTCTACCTAAATATCAAGTGTAATTGAAAACCGTAGAAACCTGTACACGTTAGTAAATATGATACATTTCATGTCGGGTTCACCACTTTTGTTATGTTACTGATCTGACTCCGATTTAAATGAATGTATGAATATGCAAAAAGCATAAAATTTCCATTTAACTCCGTATATTACCTAGGTTAACCCCGTTTGTATGAAAGCGGTAATTAAGAATTTAAATACAGGTTGCGTTGGATGAATTTATTTTAGGCACTCGTTTATCCAGAAAAATATTCAGAATAAGAAGTGGATCGGAGAAGGTGAGTAAGCCAACTCGTTTTGATCAAGCATGACTCAATATTTATTTATCAAACAAAAATAAGCTTAACACAGTCAAGGTTAATAAGCAAGTAATCAACAAGGTTAAAATGTAACTCAAGAATAAATAGATATTCGTACAAGGAGGCACCAAATAGATATGCGCCACACAAATCTCATTTGGTTTGTGCGAGGGCTGTGATACTGCCCGAGTTCTCAGACCGAAGCAGGTGGTTTTCTTAGGGGGCCACTCCACGAGCCTTCGACCTGAAGGTCTGATCTACAAGGCAGTGCAGTGTCGTAAGGAGATGCAGTCCCATGTAAGCCAGTGACCACCGATTGGTTCCTACGCCAGTTGTTCCTTCAGGATACTGGAGCCCATGTGCACCATTGGTTTGGAATCCGGTTAAAGTGCCGGACATTCTCTTTTCGTCCTCTCATTTTCGTAACCAACACGCCCGCCACGAGAAGGCAATAAGTAGGACTTCCCTGACAGAGGCTATATACTCGTGGCCATGTGAGAGCATTTCGAGAGGGAGAGCGGACTCTTTCCATTCTCGGCCATACCAGGGCATTTGAGGGCAAAAATATGGAACGCTTCACGATTTTGCGTGTCATCCTTGCGCAGGGGCCATGTTAATCTCAGTATCGTTCCAATTTTAGTATATGTACAGTCGAAGCGAGTACTGTACAAGAATAAATAAATCGATCTGTTTGGTAGCTAGAATAATCCATATGGACTTAATATATAGTACTAGACATTACAAACTATTAACAAATATACTTATGAATATAAAATCTACTGAACACCATGTTATATTTTAATTGTGAGTTTAAGCTGATAATGTTGTTTTTCTTTAAAGAGAAAATTATGATCGGTATACCTAATATGTTTGTTGTTTTTCTTATATTCATCTGTTTTTTTATGTCTACCCCATTGACTTGTTTATTTTTTCTTCTATTACAGATATCCATATTACATTTTATCATTATTAAGTTTTCAAAATGGACTTATCACTTATTTACGTCATACATTGTGGATAATATTATATCCTATTGGATTTATATGTGAAGGTAAATAAGAATTAAAAAATAAATAAATAATACCGATAGGTTGTCTTTCTAATGTTTTTGTTTTTTTTTAGTGAATTGTATTTTATTTATTTATTTTTTAATGGAGTTTTGTTCTCTGAACTGGATGGTTTGGTCGTGGAATTTTCATTGTTCTTTTGAATGACATCAGCAGCACAAACTTCAGATAGAAGTAGACTTCTACCTGAAGTTTTTGCTGCTGATGATGTCATTCAAAAGAACGATGAAAACTCCACGACCAAACCATCCAGCTCAGAGAACAAAACTCCATCAAAATCACCCACCTGCACTACAAATCTCCACTATCTCAAAATTGTATTTATTCTTTTATTTATTTTTTTTTGCTCTATAAAAACTATTTATACTATGAAACTATTTATTGAGTTTATGCCTTTCACCATTCGAACATCATAATGTTTACATTGATTTTTATTATGTAACTAGTAGACAGACGTAATTTGATTATTCACTTATAAGTAGAATTTCGTATTCTTCAAGATTCTCATCTAAAGTTGCGTATGTCATTAAATTTTGTGTCTAAATGTGAATATTAAACTCTCTTTATGGAATATAACACATAATGTTGTGAAGAATATTGACTATTCTCTTTTCTTTTCATCATCCTCTTAAGGGCTTATGAAGGTGTTAGTAGTGTGAATATGGCTTTAGAAATTCTTGTACACGTTCTATTAATAATGCTTTGGCGAAACTATAGTTTATGGACGAACTAATCAGATGTAAGATAATAGGTCTTGAATTTTGGCGTGAAATTCATTCATCCATTTGGCTACCTAACGTTTTGGTATTTTAGCTGATGTCATCTCGTGATGAAAATTCTAAATCTAATTCCCAACAACCCTCATTTAGCCCTAGTTAGTAAGTGGACATTCTCAAGGTCACTTTAGCGTCTCTCAAAGGTCGTCCATAAATTTTAGTCTCACGGATGCTACTTTTTATTATCTTCGTAAATAGTATGTTATTTAGATCACTAACCAGTCTCAGTTAGACAGCCATTAAAAACCTGGAAGCACTGAACAGTCGTTTCGTCCTGACATGGGACTCTTGAGCAGCGTGCATCAACCTTAAATCAGTAACTCACTCGTCTACAACGTACAACCAGGTACATATATGTGTCGGTCCAAGTTGCCACACTTCATTAGCATAACAAGATGAACGCCGAATTCATATAAGGATATGATAGAGGGAGAAAGAAACACTTCGTAGAAAGAAAGGTATAAAGTAATTTTAATCTCATGGTTGAAGGACAGACAGAGTTATCTGCCGACGCCATCGTGATCGATTCTGATTCATGTCACCCAGAGTCTCCAAACATTGGTTATGATAGTCGCGCGGAACCGACCAAATAGTCTGCATCTACTAACATGGCTCAGACGCAAAGTTAGTGACTTTCTGGGTTGACATCACGTTTCTGTTTGGCCTCTCCTAACTTTCTACCATCCGTCGCTAACAATAGTCAGCAATGCGCGCCGTGGTGGTCGGTGGTTGGGCATGTGTAATATGTGGCCGAACCATCTCAGTCGATGAAGATCCACAACCTCATTCCCTAATACCCTGGCGTCTAACCTCAGCATTACTTACCGGGTGATCCCAGCTGATGCGAGCAAAATTTCTAAGACACCTGTGATCAGATATTAGTAAATTACGAGTATCCTCTACCCTCAATGACCATGCTTCGCGTCCGTAATATAAAACAGAACGAACTGCTTCTCAGTCTTACGTGAGAACGTTGGACCTCTAAACTACTGAGCCGGAATCAAATGATGCTCAGTTCATCTGTACTCAGTGACTTAATTCAAGAGGAAATTTCTAGGTTTATAGTTAGAAGCTAAATCATGTCAAGTATGAAAAGGTTTCCCACCGAAGGTAATGAAACATGATCACGCAATATCATAAATGGATGGATTAAAGTTTGACTTTTACACCACTAGTGGTTTTGCATCAAGATAGTGTACATCATGTTATATATATATATATATATATCTTCACCTGTTTGGGTCAACGTCTGGTTAGTTATTATCGCAGAATAAATTACAATTAGCTATACAGTAGTAGTAATTATACATCTATATTATTATCTAGTGTATTATTATTATTATTATTATTATTATCAGCTTTATTCAATATTATATTTTTGGTACAATATAGAATTCTCAGCATAAAGTATTTCAATAAGTTTCCGTTTCTTTCTTCTTGGTCGGTCCTGGCGATAAATATTGAGTGATCGCCAGTTAGATGTTAGCAGTTCACTAAATGAACATCTGAATAATATGCATTCTTTTCGTTGTATATTGCCAGCAACCATATTGTCTCTTATTGAGTTTTCTGTAACTTTGACAACGAAAGGTTGTACACTTTTCAGAAACGCAGCAGAATAGGTTATGCGATTAATAAACATAATGATATATTAAAACAAACAAAAATAGATAACTTGTTGAAATATCTAGATGACAGGAACAGGTAGCCCAGATGCTCAAGCAGGCCGCCGAATAATTTGGTTGAAATTATTATTACTATTATTGTTTAAACTTTCATGTAATGGATTCCTTTTTTTAACAGAGTTGATAAGTTTTTGAAGGAAGAAAAAACACTGAAGTAATTCTGTCAATATTTTTAAGGTTTTGAATCTTATCCTACTGCTGATATTTAGGATTGAATTTTATTCAGTCTTTGTTGGGATTGTTATAACTTGGGACCGCCGATTAGAGAGCAGTGGATTATTGATCGGACCAAGGACGCGTAAAACACGTGCGAGCAGTCTAGAGTACTTATCTGTCCTGCTTTCCGCCTAGCCCAGCCAGTTAAGTCCAGAACACCAGTCTCAGCCTCTGCAATATGGATCATTATATTTCAAACATACTGAGTTTATATACCAATCAAACAGACCACAACGTACCAATAAAATATGAAACAACATTTGTACAATAATTAGCCATATGTGGCTGTGAATGAGGGAGGTAGTATTTAATATACTGGGTATAACTCAAGAATGATAAAACGTATAATAATAGTTTATGAGTCGAAATAAAGCTTATAATAAGAGGAATATGAATATCCATAGTTTAGTTACTTAATAATTATACAATAGAAATATACGTTTAGTATTGGTCCATAAATGGATCCCAAAAGTTACCATTCATTATTCTTGTCAGGACATAACAGGGATATATGTGAGTTCTCTACGGATCGCCTCTATGTATTATTCACTTTGCCGCAAGTTATTCAGAGCAGATAAATACCATAACCAGCAATGGAATCCAGGACTGGTGTTTCATATTATTTAGGTTTTGTTAGCTAGCAGCATGGTTAAATCGAGGTAATCCATGCTGGATTCGCATATATGCCAACAACGATTTATTAAAATTCAGTCCTGAATATCAATCAATAACGGAATAATAGTTAACTCCTTTTAAGCATTATACCTGTTGAACAGGTAATGGGTATTTGGACTAAGTAAGTCAGTGGTGAATACATGGGGTTGTGAAATGAAAGGTACTAGATTGAAGTCCCAATATGAACATAAACATTGAGATGCAGGTACGTTCAGCTAGTGAGTCCTAAATAGGATGAAACTCTGCTTTGTGAACTTTACTGCTAACCACAATCCTACTGTTCAAAATTCTTAACTGACTTATTATTACTAATATCAACACTTAAATTGAGATTTAGTAATCAGCAATTCAACAGGGGATGGTTTTTTCTTGGTCTCTATATTTCCATCATTATTTATTGTGAGAAAATAATATGTATTCTGTCCTTTTTACTAATTATCAGGTAAATTAATAATTCGATCACTGCCTTCATTGGTTGAGTCTCGAAAATTCTGTTTAGAACTACCGAATCCAGCTAATGTTAGCTTTGATTTTACAACTTTTCTGCAAATCTATATATTTTCTATGTCTTTTGGTAAGTGAATTTTCGAGCTTATATTTATTAAACATGCTAACAACCAACGATATTTATGAAATGATAATTACTCAGGCGAATTGTACAATGTTAGTTATTAAAAGGCACCCGGCATGAAATCCTGCTTGACCTACGTTTTGTGCTAGTACACTTGTCATTATTAGGGTATACCTTCCATATTGAGGAAAGAGATGCTCCCTCTAGGATTCAAACTTCAAGAGGTGCAGTCCAATAGTAGCATACGATAAAACTATTTCATACATCTATTCTTTCCCTCATTATCTCGGAGCCACTCATGTATACCATTGTTTTGAGATCGGAGTTTTCCAACACCCCTAGCTAGATGCTTCGTACACACCGACCCGGTTTCAGCATCAGATGTTCGCTTGTCATACTTTCATTCCCGTAAATTACCCCTGTCAACAGAATACTATCTTACTACTCTTCACTTACCTAATTTGTTTCCCCAACACCGACGCCCAAAATACACAAATTTCTAATTGGTCAGATAAATTATATTCTTTTTTGTTTATACAGTATTTTATTGATTTTTATTTTCTCCGCAGGTTTATACTGTAATATGAGACATTTATATTTGAGGCGGCGTAAAATAATTGGTCCTCGACCAATTAAAGGAGCAGATCAAATGGGTTATTTTTCTTTTGTACCATTCTTGCGTTCATTAGTTCGTGGATCAAATATGAAAAATCTCTCTACTACCACCAGTACTATTAAAAAGAAGTATGTAGGTAATCGCAACAGTTTACCGAAATTAAACTAACTTATTTCTTCGCATAACATGTATAGTTCCATGATGTAATAATTGTTAAATGAAATGATATTTTATTCTATGTATCTTAATGAATAAATCAATTGTTTTTTATTGTCTAAACCTTTTTCTTATTTCATTGAAATTATGGACCGATCAATGTTCGACCAACATTGAAAACCTGAAAGTACTGGACGACTGTTTCGTCCTAGTATGGAACTCCTCACCAGTGCTCATCCACGATCCCGCATGCGGGATTCTAATTTTTGTTTTATGCGAATATTGCATAATTTCATAAACTTTCAAAGTCTTTGATATTATTTAGTTAGACAACAATGTTAAATAGATATATCTGTTTACCAATTGTATGTTTCAGTATAAACGGGTTGATGACAAAGTATCTAAATTCTCCAATGTGATACTTAGGCAAAACAGTATATTGTACAACGGTGGTAATAAAAGATACATATGATATGTGCTGGAAGAATTTTTCCAAGGAGTCACTATTTAAGCGGACAGATGATGAGTGGAAATTGGATAAATGCAGGATGGGGATGGTATTATATATATACTTGTTTTTAGTGCATTCAGTTGTACACACCAACTGGATTTCTGACCGAATGACGCTTACTAATGGGTAAAGTAACTTTACGACATCGGTTTGAGAGTATATAAAAAATTCATATAATAATGGTGTCATAGCAATCGCTGAATGCGACAATGTAAGCTGTGAGTTTCTCAGAATTATATTGATACATGATTATAAATGTAATGTGTACACAAACGGTCAGATTTTATTTTCACCTTATGTGCATCTAAAAAAATAAATTAGTAGCTTCAAGGTGTACGAGTAATCTGTATATTGAACTGTATATAGCTTAAATCTGAATCTTGGATTTGATAAGTGCACTTTTTTAGTGAATGATAGATAATGGGGTGGATTTTTGCCTATAAACTTTTCTAAATACATAATCGCGCTAGTGATGTTTCTCGTATCTGAATCGTTATATTAAGTTGTAAGGTTGTGGTTGGAGAAAGCCGATAGGAAACAATAAGACTAGGTTTCGGGTTACTTAGTAATGGTCAACGAAGTGTACCTGCAATTTTGAGGCAACGAATGTTACCCATCAAATCCGAACCCATACCGCCCAGCATCACAGTCAAAAACGTTACCGCTGAACTGACCTCCCGAAGGACTCAGATATATTTGCAATTGATTAATTATCGAGTAGTGATCGACGAAGTCCTTATTGCTGATCGAATTCAATTGACTAAATTGTTATGTGGCGATTAGTCTAACAAACTCAACATCGTGTGCCCTATGTTGAGATGTAAGGTGGAGATTTGTTATATTGAGTCACTGAAGTAGACTTATTTACAGATCAGGTATGTATTATGATATCATTTCATTTCCTAACTTTTTACTGTCAAGAAAGATGCGTAAAACATTTTTCATCAACTCAAATTTGCTATTAGTTACAGTCTATTATGTGTATTTTGTATATGTTGAAAAAATTAATATACAGTTTATTTATGTCTTATGCGAATAAATAAACTTTTATTAGTTAGTATTTGATGTCTTTTTGTCCGTGGTATTGTAGAATTATGGTCTACTATGATATTAGTACTACTCTAATAATAGATCTAATCCTAAAATTGTAGCTTTGTCATGATATAACTGCCTAATTTATAAGATCTTACGTGGAAGTCACACCATCGACTACACCAGCTCACTGTATCGTATCAATTACCAATATATGATGTAGAACAAGGTTAGTCTAGAGAAGGAACAATATATTTAATATGAATAGAAGATATAAGGTAACATTCAGAGGGGCCACGCCTGCATGGCCGAGCCATGCCATCCGATCAACTCCAATTCATTCAATTCATTCTCCGCGCATTCTCCATTGTTAGGTATTTCCCCAAGTTAAATATTGAATATCTATTTTCTGAGTAGTCTCGTGTTCACAGCTTTGTGGATTGTGTGGCTATTGTCCAATGCCACTACACTACCCTCCCACCAGAATCAACGTGATGTTGGTTCGATACCAAATTGGATGGGATCGTCGCGCGTCGGAGGTTACCAAGGATAATAAGGATCCTCCGGGTATTGACAAGCTGAAAGATAAATCAAAAAGAAAGCGGCAGCATCTGGTCGGGAAATACATGTAATAATTTTAAAATATCTGCCTTCATGCTTAAAACGCTTGAAATGAAAATTTGGGTGAAGATTATTTGAACTATAAAAAATGGGATTACAATAATAATAATAAAACGATGAGTGTTAATAGCCGTTGGTTAATAATTTAACGTATAGGTAGTATTTTGTGTTTAGAAATATTAAAGTAATGAATTGTAGAAATGTTAATATCGGTATTAGTTTTGGATTAAATTATGAAATCAATTTACAATTATGCCGGTATGTTGTCCATATGAGTTGATTTCCAATTGCATATATATTAGTAGGCTAACTGAATGAACAAAAATATTACCGCGGAGAATTCCAACTAGTGTTCCAGTTAGTTTGATACGCTTTATTTAGTTACGGGGCGATTCTCTCAACCTCATTTTTACTTGGCCGTGATAGAATTTACTAATACTACTATTACACATGAATGTTTATCAAAACAATTTAAATACGTGAGTGATGATTATATGAATTTTGGACAGATAGCTAGGAACAAATCGTTAAACATGAGTGTATTCGTAAGAGACATGCTCTAGACTCAATGTTCTGATCTGTGGCAGACTATTTATTTATATTTATACTTGCCGGCTGATTAGGCATACAAGTTAGTTGCAAGTATGCAGTTTATCATAAGGCGGAATACGATTTAATTGAGATATAGTGGTTATAAGTTATTAAAATCAGCTAAGCCTATGTGTCATATTACGAAGTGATGTGGTGCTGCAACATGTATTTAGCTAAATAAGTTTTTACAAGATGATTAATAGTGAGTGATGCTCATGTGATTGTCAGGGAGAACATAAGTTGTAACCAGGGGGAGTACACTCCTAACTCATGTCTATGATAATGGCTTGAACCTTAGTCAGTGTTGGGGTAAATTCGACATTGATGTTTTCAGTTTGCAGGAGATTTGCTCGACTGTTTATACTGATTATTTGCATGCATGGTTGTGTCGCTAGACCATCAATTAGACTGACAAGGTTCTGAGATATTTACTGAATGAGCAACTGATAGAGAAACATACTGTAATCATCTGTAGTGAATGAAGATAAAAGAAAAAAACAACACTAGTGATAATTGTAAGTCAATTTGCTGACCGATTTTGTTAATAGTTTCATTAATTTCATCAATCATATTACGTGATTGTCAAGTCATGACAATGTTTTATGACGATATTCTGAAACTATTATGTTTAACTAGTTATAGTGTTGATTGAGGATTAGCCAGTGGAAAAATAGGTATTGTTACTTTAGGTGATTCGAAATTATCAGAAATTTATAACGTTAAAGAATCCGAGACGCCTAATTTAATTATAAATTTCAATTCATTAATATTCGCTTAGTGTTATTTCTAATAGGCTACGGAGTTTTGATTTTAAACGTTTATTTAGCCAACAGCTACCTAGGGATTTAGTTATTTTACTAGTGCAGTTGATAGTACCTAAATTTTTAATCTTATTATCTAAACTATGTTCGCATTTTAGGCTGCTAATATGATAAACCAATCCATAAACCCAAATACGATTAGCAACAACGACTATGATGGGTTTATTGATAAATGTTAAAGGCGATTCAGATGATTTCTAAATTTAGAAGACATGAAGATATAGTGTTACGTATGTACGGGCCAGGTTAACAAGCAGGTTGTTGACGTATATAAAAATTTAAAAATAATGAACATGACCAGGAAATAATTTTAAAGTTTAGACTGCTTGTGAAACTTCAGGCAGGAATATGATGCGTTATAAACATTCCATAAGGACTCACTGCATTTAGCCTAGGGACACTTACAAATATATAGCAAAAGGAACCGGAAAACATATACATGTTAAGTAAAAAAATCATTAAGTAAAATAGTTGAACTCGCGTGGGTTATTTTTGAAAATTGGATTATTCAGTGGACGACATATATAACGCCATTCGTGAGGAGTAGTAATGATCCAAAAGCATCCAGAATAAAACATGCAGTATGGCAATCACTTCCAGGGTGCTTGATGCTGTTGAGGTTTTTGGGACTCGCTCTAATCGGAGCAACTGGATGAATCCAGATGATTGTGTGTGCCATCGAATGAGCCATCTAAAATGAACTTATGATTGCAGAAAACTTATAGCTGGAACTCACCGTATTTTTTTGGAGAAGTGTCATCCTTGTTGTTTGGCAATGGAACTCGAAAATATGAAATTAGGCAGGCAGTGGTCGGAAGAAAAGATATTACAGGATAGTGCGTAGTTTAAAACAGGATGAGGTATTAAGCGAAGGAACACAGAATTAGATCCAGATAACTATTCAATCCTTGGTTGCATTGTTAGTCAATGTATATTTACGCTATTTACAGGTCATATTTGCTAGAGCTTGATGTTTAAACAAGTCTATGTCGCTGAAGCAGGTAAATGCTATTAAAGCTTGTTAACGAACCATCAAAGCTAATTAGTTGATATAGATGATCAACTTTTATTATCGATTGAGCCAGTAAGTTATGTGAACTAATAAATATAACATTACGATAATATATGTGACCATTAATCAAAGGACTATTAGAATACTGGGTTTACAAAAATAAAAACCGATTGAGAAGGTTAAGGTGGAAATAAGCATTAATAATAATAGGTTGCGTTTCTCTAGTTGGGCTCACCAATGTAGAATTATGGTCTACTATGATATTAGTACTGCTCTAATAATAGATCTAATCCTAAAATTGTAGCTTTGTCATGATATAACTGCCTAATTTATAAGATCTTACGTGGAAGTCACACCATCGACTACACCAGCTCACTGTATTGTATCAATTACCAATATATGATGTAGAACAAGGTTAGTCTAGAGAAGGAACAATATATTTAATATGAATAGAAGATATAAGGTAACATTCAGAGGGGCCACGCCTGCATGGCCGAGCCATGCCATCCGATCAACTCCAATTCATTCAATTCATTCTCCGCGCATTCTCCATTGTTAGGTATTTCCCCAAGTTAAATATTGAATATCTATTTTCTGAGTAGTCTCGTGTTCACAGCTTTGTGGATTGTGTGGCTATTGTCCAATGCCACTACAGTATGACCTAGTAAAATTTTTTTTAGTTTGCTCTTAATCTTATTCATTATACACCAGTAAATGTTATAGTTTCTTTGTCCATTCAAATCCTAATATTTGTTTATTGTCTAATTGGCTCCGGTAGCTTAGGCTACCAAGTGCCCTGGTACGGCCGAGAGTGGGGAGAGTCCGCTCTCCCTCTCGAAATGCTCTCACATGGCCACGCGTATATAGCCTCTGACAGGGAAGTCCTACTCACCGCCTCGTGGCAGGAGTATTGTTTACGAAATTGAGAGGATGAAAAGCGAATGTCCGGGGCTTTAACCAGGTTGGTGGACATGGAGAGTTCACCTAGGGGAGTCGGAAAACCCTGATTCCAAACCAATGGTGCACATGGGCTCCAGTATCCTAAAAGAACAAATGGTGTATGAACCAATCGTCGGTCACCGGCTACCATGGGACTGCATCTCTGTTGTGTCCCGATAAGAATAATGAGTGGTAATTTTTTGGGATCTATTTATGGACTAATACTGTGCGTATATTTTTGTCGTATAATTGTTAACTAACTAAACTATTCATATTCATGTCTCTCTTATCATAAGCTTTATTTTAACGTATGAACTGATATTATACGATTTTCCATTTTTGAATTATTCCCTGTGTATTAATTACTACCTCCCTGATTCACAGCCACATATGGCTAATTCTTGTACAAATGTTGTTTCATATTTTGTTGATACTTTGTGGTCTGCTTGGTTGGTATATAAACTCAGTATGTTTGAAATATAAGGATTCATATTGTAGAGGCTAAGACTGGTGTTCTGGACTTAACTGGCTGAGCTAGGCGGAAAGCTGGGTCAATCAGAACTCAAGGCTGCTCGCACGTGTTTTACGCGTCCTTGATCCGATCAATAATTCGCTGCTTCTGATTGGCGGCTTTGGGCTGTAACAATCTCCCTACGTTCCTCCACTGCCTTGTGGATCAGACCTTCAGGTCAAAGGCTTCGGGTGTGGCCCCCTAAGAAAATCATCTACTTGGGTTTGGGCACTCGGGTAGTATCACAGCCCTCACACATATCAGATGAGATTTGTGTGATGTATATGTATTTGGTGCCTCCTTGTACCAATATCTATGTGTTAAAATAAATAAATAAAATAAACTGTCTCATAGAGACAGCTGTCTGAGATTGGTTACACACAGCCTTTTTGTGGCAAGTTTTTGAGGTGTTAGCTGCGTACTTTGATGGTTTTACCACTGGAAACGGAAATCCATGTGGTAAGATAAGGTGTAGTGTTTTTAGAGTCGATCTTTCCTAACCCCTTCTTCCGATTGTGGGATGACAGGATATCTGAGGGAAAATTTTTACTTTGATCACACCACTCTACAGTTAACAGTACGACTTCATCATCAGACCTTGAGTTTTTGCTTTGACTCATACCGTTCATCAACTGACCTATCTGATATAGTAATATCTAATGGGAAAAGTGTTCCAACCTATATATGTCGGTTGGATTATGATGATAACCTCATCTACCCACCTCCTGAACCTATCAGCGATAGCTGATAGGTAAATATTCATCAACTCACTAAATAAAAAAAGTCTATAGTATATCTAACAAAAATAATGAGTAACAATAATCATTATTATTATTATTAATTATTCTACAAATAGATTTTAACGTAAACAACAGATTAAATTGTTAAAAAAAAACAAATAAACATAGAAATCATTCAAAAAGAGAAATGAGTTAAAGGATGAAAAAGCAGGTGATAATGAATTGAATAGTCGGTAAATAGTAGCTGCAAAGTATAAGATGATCATTACAAAAACTACGGTAAAAATACAATACAAAATGATTATAATAATAATAGTAATGATTATCAACTAAGGATTTATTTTCATGATAGATAGTCTCTTGTTCTTTTCTTTTTTTTGTTGTTGTTGATTGTAATTCAATCGACAATATAAGAATTTGTAGTGGTGGTGGTAGCGGTAGTAGTGGTGATAGTGGTGGTGGTAGTGGTAGTAGTAGTGATAGTGATGGTAGTAGTGGTAGTGGTAGTAGTAGTGGTGGTAGTAGTAGTAATAGTAGAAAAAGAAGAGAAGAGAAAAGAAAATTTTTCCTAACTAATAAGTTTACTAAACAGATTAATATTATTTCTTTTTTTTTGAAAAAAGAAAAAGGAAAACAGTACAAAAATCATTAAACAAAAATTGTTTATTGTTATTACTGAAGAATAATTTTGTAAAACTAGACAGATAGAAATAAACAAGTAGGAAACAAAAAGCCTAGTTATTAGTAAAGAAAAAAGAGAGTGCATTGAAATTGTAGTGTTGAACCCCTTAGAACGTTGTATAATCAAGATACATGATTATTACTGTTGTATATGTATAATGATACTTGTTTTTTTTTAAAAAAAGAATCTATTTTCAGAAATAGTAAGGTAGAACGATCTAATTATATACGTTTATATATAGTTATATAATTTTGAGTATAATAATTAAGCTTCAGTTGGATCTTCTTGTTCATTAATTGGACTTTCATCTTGTATTAATCTCCCAGTAGTTGTACTATATTTACGATTTTTATGAAATATACAATTTGATGCACCTTTTGGTTGATCATATTCTTCCATTGATAATGATCTATTTCTAGCTACAGGTATTGTACTACTCATTCGTCGACTAACTAAGCCACCAGCTAAAATGAAAAAAAAATATGTTTATGTATGCTCTATTTGTTACAGATGTAGATAGTTAAGCCAACAAATGCCCTGGTACGACCGGGGGTGAGGAGAGTCCGCTCTCCTTCTCGAAGTGCTCTCACATGGCCACGCGTATACAGGCACTACCATGGAAGTCCTACTCACTGCCTTCTCGCGGCAGGAGTGTTGTTTACGAAGTTGAGAGGACGAAAAGCGAGTGTTCGGCGCTTTAACCAGGTTGGTGAATATGTAGGATCTACCTAGGGAAGTTGAAAACCCTGATTCCAAACCAATGGTGCACATGGGCTACATGATTCTGAGGGAACAAATTGCGTATGAACCAATTGTTGGAACTGCATCTCCTTACGTTGCTCCACTGCCTTGTGGATTAGACCTTTAGGTCGAAGGCTCCGGGTGTGGCCCTCTAAGAAAATCATCTACTTCGGTTTGGGCACCCGGGTAGTATCACAGCCCACACACAAATTAAGTGACTTGTGTGGCGCATATGTATTTGGTGCCTCCTTGTATCAATATTTATGCGTTCAAACAAAGTTATGTTAACCTTTTGACTTTTAATCACTACATTTCTGATTCAATATGGAGATTTCAGTAACTGGGGAATCATCGCTGACTACTTGTTTCATAATTTAATATAAGAATTTATTCACACTTTTTAGTCTTTAGTCAAATGAATACATTTTGTTAAAATAACGTGAATAGATATATGCATTCTATTTAGTTCATAAGCAGTTAACTGGAAAGTTGGTCAGCAAATGGAAAGCACAACACGTCACGCTTATTTAACATTTCATCAACATAAGAGGTCGATGGTCTCTATTACTTTGCAGCATTCTTGTAGTCTTGATGACTTGCATTGAAATGTTTGATCTACTTAAAGATTTGTTTACTTTAGTGTGTTATCATCATTAAAAGTAATCAATATTTCTTGGATTTCCTAAGAATATTCGTTATTAAAAAGTATGGAGGCCTATTGTACGTCTTTATTGAACAGAAAACATGGTGTGTGTTACTTTTTAATATAAAACTGTGTATACAAGTGAATAAGCAATGCTCACTTTATTTGGTAAAATTAGTTGTGATTTTAATTAGAGAAATCTTACTTATCTGTCTATATATATATATATATATTGGTTAGTTGTATTGTCTTTAAATGGCAGTTCATATTAAAGTTGTTGTATGGAATCAGTTGATTCCATTAGCTTACTCCACATTGTCTATACATCAGTCTTCCATTTATCATTTCAATGATTTAAATTATTCTCACAATAACAACCCGACCGTTGCTGCTACCTTGAGTTAGTCGTGCTTGTTTATCATTATGACTGAGCCAAGCTACATTAGCTGGAACACATCGTTCCCTTAGGTTTTACCATGTCAGGTAGGTCGGTTGTAGAATGGTAAGACAAAAAGTAGCAACTTAAAGTTCGAGGAAGAAATCGTACTGTTGACTGTAGATGGGTATGACAACAGTAAGGCGTTTCCCTCGAACAATCAACATCTGCAGCGATGCTGCCTTTTCAAAACAGAAGGTGGGGATCAGGAAAGGTAGATCCTAAAATGTCACACCTCACCACACCCTACAGATTTCCGTCTCCGGCAGTAAGGCATTTTGAAGTGGGGAGCTAACACATCAAAGACTTTCGATAAAAAGAACCGTGCGCGGAAGGCCTCAAACAGTTTCCCATTAGGCGCTGTGGTCGCTTCCCTAGGTTGCTAAGACCACCACTAATTTAACCTTTTTTCATGTTTCTCAAGAGGAAACATCCTTCCGCAGTGTGAGCAACCGTGAAATGACATTCGTACTCATATCTATATCGGCAACCGAGGAGATTCTGTTGATGAATAAATCTTTCCTTAACCTCTTAATAAGTCTTTCATCCGCACAGATAACCCTTCTAATTTATTTTTATCACCATGAGGCATCAATACTAATGATTTGAGTTCATAAAACGTTATTCCCAGTCTGCTGTTACCACGGTCTAAACCACATGTTGAGGATGTTAGTGTTCAGACCTTGTATCAGGTAGGAAAACAGGCTTCTCCAGTTAGGACTCTAGAATCTAGCGCCATTGATGTATGCTGCGTTCCCAAAACGCGCATACTGGACCCAAGAACGGTCATCCATTTCACCCCACCTTGTCAATATAAAGAACAATCACGACTTACCCTTCAAGTATCTGGGAGCCCCGCTGGCCTCGCTGGTGTAGGCATAGCATTATTTTCTAAGTCAGAACAGACGCTGTTTGAGTATGTTTCAACAGATAGTCATTTTGACTAAGCTCAACAGAATGAATTCGAAAAGATCGGGACACACACCGTTGTCTTCTCATTGTCTCTGCCTACCCTCCCACGGATGAATTTTATAGGAAGCCATCCAACTTGCTTCAAAAAACCAAACGCTCTGATGTAGCAGTAGTGGCGGGTGATTTTAATGCTCAAGTAGGTAAATTAAACCAATCCGAAAGGCACTTAGGTGGATTTTATGGTATTGAGATTCAGCGAGCAGATACTGGAGATCGTCTATTGCAAATATGCCCAGATAACTGTTTATTTCTGGCAAACAATAACTTGGAACGAAAGGAGAAACATCGTCTGACATAGCAGCCTTTACAATAGACTCACCTATGAACTCAAATAGATCACATTGCCATTATCCATCGCTGGAAGCGGTCGATCGAAGACTCGCTCGTCCTAGAGTACATGTTTAGACGTGGACCAGGCTCTAGTTCGAGCACAGATTTGTCTGAGTCTTACTGGACATAGAAACCCCTTAGAGTTTAACTTAATGATGAAAAAATTAATATATTTCAGGAACAACTAGAAAAGGAGCTATTCAACCCTAAAAGTGATATCAACCCCGAGGTTGCTTGGTACGATATCTAAAAGACTGTGGAAATAGTAGCGATATATTTAATGCAAAAAGTTGGGAGAAATCAGTGGATTTCAGCAGCGTCTACAGCATTAACAGGTGCTCGTAGATTCATCTCATCTAGCGCTGAACAAAATGAGAAGGCGAGACAGCTCAAACGTAGGGTGACAGAAAGCCTACATTACGATTGTGAACAGTGGTGGGTAGCGAAAGTAGAAGGAATGGAAAAGGCAGCAGTGATAGGTAACAGCAGACAACTGATCAAACTTATCCAGGAATCGAGTTCAGTCAGATTAGCTGTACCCTTAGCTAAAATCTGGTAACTGAACGTAATCCCATCTGTCTGGTCTCGATCGCCGATTGTCCCAGTTCACAAGAAAGGACAATAATCCTCTTGTGACAATCAAAAATGAATCAGTTTAACCAATGTATTGTCCGAAATATTAGCCTCAACAATACTTAGACATCTAACTAGAGCTCATGCGTAGAAGAACCATTTAGCTTTTGGCAGATTCTGGAACATAGACAAACTTTTCGACGTTCGTTTGTAGTAGTATTCTTTGACCTTCAATCGGTGCTCGATTTCGTTTATCGCGGGGTTCTGTGTCAGTGTTTGTTGCTGAAAGAGGTACCAAAGAAGTAAATTAATCTTGTATATACTGTTTACTCGAACACCACTGGTCGAGTAAGAGCTAATGGCAAGCTGTCATCGGAATTCGTTACTTCAAGTAGTGTTCTTCAGAGGTGTCCTCTTTCCCCATTTTTAATTAACTTTGCCATAGACGTGCTTTCAGAGATAACACTCTCATCGTCTGACTTTTCAGGAGTTTATTTTCTCCCTAACGATTCGCTTGTTGACTTTGAATACGCAGATGATATATTTCCTTTAGGTGAAGACGCCGAAAAATTACAGAGTATTCTAATAACCTAAAACAGCAATCCAAGTATGTTTGAGATGCGGTTTCCTCCATCCAAATGTAAAATGTTACTTCATGATTGGCTTGCATCATCGCCTAGATTCATGATAGGAAGTAAAGTGGCTGAACGCATCAATCACTTCACTTATTTGGAGAGTCTCATCAGTTTTGACAGTCTAGAGTCTGACGAAATTTCGGCACAGATTCAGAAGGCTTGAGTGGCTTTTGCCCACTTGCGTCACTTGTGGCGTAGGCCAGGTATCCGTCTTCTAAACAAAGGCAAAGTTTATTGCACAGCAGTTCACTCTGTTCTACTTTATGGACGTGCAACATGGCCGTTAAGAGTAGAGGATATTCGTAGGTTACTGTTATTCGATCATAGATGTCTTTAAAGCGTTTCTTGTATATTTTCGGACCACGGAGTCGACAGTGCCTAGGAATAGAGTACTAGGTAATGATGGCAAATCAATTGATGAGGTAGTAAATCTTGATCAATTGAGGTAGTTGGGGCATATGTTACGTATGCCCAACAGATGTTTTCTGGTGTAGCAGTAGGCTGGAGGGTAGCTAGGGGCGGCCAAGTCAGAACATGGCACCAGCCCATGAAGTCACTGACAGTTGGACTTGGCCATGTTATTAGGTGTAGATTACCTGGTTGTGGTCCGCATGATCATCGTAACTAATGATTAGAGACTTTGAATGACATGACTCAAACTCGTTTGCAATGGCACAGGTGCATCTATTCTTTGTCTTTCCTCAAATTCTGAGATCCTAAATTCCTCAAACCTTTTCTCGTTTTTATTTTACTAATTTATATTTTCTTTTCGAGTCGTATCTTTGATCCCTAATCTTTCCTATTATCACAAATACTGTTACTATCTCTGCTATTCTAGGCTACGGCCTGACAACTTATCTCTCGATGCTAATGGGGTATGACAACTTGGACCGATGTACGTATATTCAGGTTCTATTTTATGACTGACTGACTCACAGTAACAAATCTTAAAACCTTCTTTTATAATAGAATAATGATCCAACACCCATCTGTAGATTCTAGTTTGAATAAATGTCTTACAGGTGATGTAATCATATTTACAATTAATGTTCTCATTTTGTACAAAACAAAATGATAATACATGAGAATCATTTTAATTCATACAACTGACATATTTAATTTTGGATTGATGATCAACTGGTGGCTTAGTCGATAAAGCACTGAACTTTTAGTCAGTAGGTCATAGGTTTAAAGCTTGTTCTGAATGTTTCAGTTTATGGAGTTTGGTACTATTACCATTCTAAGATATTAGGTATTCAGAATTAGATGACAGAAAACTCTATAGTCTCGACATAATACACGCGATGTGTAGTCATTCAGACTAATGGTCGCATCTCAAATTGATTTATGTAGTTCAGTGAAGACTTTAAGGAATAGACAAAATGAGATTTGATCACGATTCAGTGATCAAACAGTATTAATAATGTGCCACAGAAGTAATATGTAATAAAGAACTGGGTACATAGTCAAGTACAAAATAATATTTAGAATTCCTGGAAATAAAGCCTACATAATAAGTTAGACATTAACACCGCTGGATGCCGGCTCAGAGGTCTAATGGTTAAGTGCTCGCGCACGAAACCACTAGGTCCTGGGTTAGAATCCCGCGGAGTGCGGGGTCGTGGGTGCGCACTGCTAAGGAGTCCCATACTAGGGCGAAACGGCCGTCCGGTGCTTCCAGGTTTTCCATGGTGGTCTAGCTTCAATTGACTCATGATTTCAACTTGTGAAATTACATAATAAGTGTTTAAATTTACTTAAGGTAATGAATGAATCATTACTATAATATTTACATATATATACTTACCTAAACCTAATCCTTGGATAAAAAATTGTAGACATTCGGCAACTTTTTCAGGCTGAATGGAAAGTAAAAAAATTAGCTGTTTTAGTTTTTAATTAAAACGAATGATTATAGATATATATATATATATATATATATATATATATATATATATATATATATATATATATATATATATATATATATATATATATATATATATATATATATATATATATATCCATATTGTTTTGAGAATAAATTACATGAATATTCATAACAGAATACAAAGCCAGTAATTACATGAATCTTGATTTAAAAAAATGCATAATCTAGTTTGATGATAGCCGTACAATGCTTGGATTAGCAAGATTGAATAACTGATATGACGTTTGAATAGAAATATTTTCTGTTTTGTGGTTTACTAATATAATGGAATTATATGGCTGGTGATCTAAATTATACGATCACTAGACTGGATACTCGATTAGTAAAATAAGCACAGACTCAACCATGTTATACCAAATACGCTATTCAAGAACAAAAATTAGAGAACTAGAGTATAGACTGGACAATACTTCATTCAACATGGTCTACAGTTTACACTCAGTATTTCCTGAGTAAAAATCAATAATAAAAAGTAAATCACATGTTGAATAGTTAGTAAGTTGTATCTATCAGTTCACGCTTACTGGTCAATCACATTTAAGTTCACTAGTCACATATCAATGATAATTTATTGCCTAATATTTCAAAAAAATCTAATCTGGAGATTTTAAACTAAGGAAAATTGAACAACATTTTAAATGATGTATAGATATGGGTTCTACATCATTTAGTCAGTAGATCATATGCAACATAAAACCTGGTACATATGTACATTGGTTGAAGTAGCTATACTACATGATCATAGGAAATTGAAACATATATCCCAAAGTGGTAGAATTACTGACAGTATGAGTAACAGTAAAAATGTTAGCTGTAGACAACATAATTCAGACTTTCAGATCCGATAGATGACAAAAAGTGAACGCCCTGCACCATAGAGACCGATTCTAAGCTACATTAACTAATGTTTTTAACCAGTGACCAAAATTATCATACCGACGCCAATTACATGGTTTATACTTACCAACACAGATTAGAACATCAGCTAAGGCCTTTATGAACTTGTGCTACGTTTATCGTTTAGCGTATTTACGCTTTCATACCATCTAATCTTAACTTAGACATCATAGCTCATTGAGACAGGGATTGGTTGAACATATTTGGCACATGTCTCAACTTCCTCAATTCGTGGAGGTTCACAACCTCATCAACTGATTTACCACCCTTACCAAGTACTTTGCATTCAACTCTGCTACTTATTCCGTGATTAGAATATACGTGATCAATGCTTCGAATGCATGTAATGTTCAAAACTTGTAGCATGAGGATGTCTTCGACTTTCAAAGACCATATTTGAAAAACCATAAGATAGTACAAAGAAAACACTTGGGTCATATACAAGCTATTTACAGGTCGATGAATAAGTAGCTCAGGTCATAAGTGACCTAAACTCAAGCTAAAATTCCGTTAGATATCAAATCAACAAGTCTGATGAAACTTTGGAGTTAAGTGAAATGTTTGACATACTTCATTCATTCCTTACAATTAACTTATTTATGTACGAAAATGAGAGGACGAAAAGCGAATGTCAGGCGCTTTAACCGGATTCAAAACCAATGGCGCACATGGGCTCCAGTATCCTGCGGGAACAAATGGCGTATGAACCAATTGTTGGTCATCGGCTTCCATGGGACTGCATCTCCTTACGATGCTCCACTGCCTTGTAGGTCAGACCTTCAGGTCGAAGGCTCGGGGTGTGGCCCCCTAAGAAAACCACCTGCTTCGGTTTGGGCACCCGGGCAGTATCACAGCCCTCACACATATCGAATGAGATTTGTGTGGCGCATATCTATTTGGTGCCTCTTTGTACCATTATGTATGTGTTGAAGTAAATAAATAAAAAATAATTTATGTACTTGTATATTATTGTAGAAAGTTAAAATGAACAATATCTATATGATTATGTATATAAATAAAAATATATACACATATCATAACCTTATTAGAATTAATGACAAATTAATCTTAATGACTTATGATATTTCATGTTTATCATTTATGTTTATAATTATTTTATAAAATTTCATAGAATTAGGTCAATACTTCAAAGGGATTTAAATAATTACATAACTTTCTATTTTGTTATCAAAAGGAGAAATTAAAAAAATATATATATATAGAATAAAAGTTATATACATAATTTGATAAGATTTTGACATGTATACTACTCGCATCAAGTAATTAGCGGATATATCAATTTGATAAATTATAATTATTTGATTTTCAAAAGGATTCAATGAATAAATGATAAATAGAATATCAACTATATATATATATATATATATATATATATATATATATATATATATATATATATATATGGTGTGGGTTTTGTACTGAAATAACACTATATATACCTATCATCATGGAATTAATTTGAAATTATTTTGAGTTTCGATACGAGGAACTTATCATTCATATATTAGGTTGCCCCCACATACCCTGGTATGGCCGAGAGTGAGGTGGGCCCGCTTTCCCTCTTGAAATGCTCTCACACGGTCACGCGTATACAGCCTCTGCCAGGGAAGTCCTACTAACTACCTTCTCGCACCATTGGTGTTGTTTACGAAAAAGAGAGGACAAAAAGCGAATGTCCGGCAATTTAACCGGATTCCAAACCAATGGTGCACATGGGCTCCAGTATCCTGCGGAAACAAATGGCGTATGAACCAATCGTTGGTCACCGGCTTCCATGGGACTGCATCTCCTTACGATGCTCCACTGTCTTGTGGGTTAGACATTTAGGTCGAAGGCTCGGGGAGTGGCCCCTTAAGAAAACCACCTGCTTCGGTGTGGGCACTCGGGCAGTATCACAGCCCACACACACAAATATGGTGTGGCGCATATATATTTGGTGCCCTCTTGTGCCAATATTTTTGTGTCGAAATAATAATAATAATAAAGGTTGAGGTTGAATCATATACATCGTTGAAATTCAATTACTTTCAACTTAAAACCATGGTTATGTAATATTATCAATGATTATTCATTGTAATTCAAATGACTGTATGCAATTAGAAGGAAACCCTAATACTTAGTGTTACACAGAATATCTGTAACAATGATATGCTTAATACTAGAAGAAGGTATCGGATCTATGTCACTCAGTATCACAATTAGTGATGTTATCACTAAGCTGTTCAGTTCCCTAGTAATGATTGAAAGCTCTCGAGAATTCATCTACTAAGCATTCAGAAGGTGCAAAAAGACTTAAAACACTTTATTCAATCAATATTCAGTCGAAACTTCGCAAACACTCCTAAAAATGCAATGGATTATGTGAAACACTCTGATTGGATAACTCAAGAAACTCCCCGAATATCAGGGTCACTTGTATATCTATAGGTTCGCCTGCTTTCTGTACATAGACTACTTTTGAAAGCAAAGTTTCTGTCCACATTTTCCATCTTATATATTCCGTTAGAGATGTAAGCTAGGAGAATTCTGGGGAATCGATCAGTGGCTAGGGAGTTATTATCAAGAGTTTGAGTACCCGATATATCAGTGACCTGCAGTAGCATTGATTGTTTTAATATTAGCTGCTACTATTACTACTACGACTACTCAGTGATTCTTCTCTAAAAGATTTAGATATTTATTTTGTGGTAACATGCCAATGATAACTCTTATAGATACTGTAATTCATTTCCTATAGAGTTGAATGTGGTGAACAAAGAAAAAAAATATAGAACTATAGTAAAATATACACAGATAATTCTTTTATTTATTTCAAGTTGAAGACTATTTTTAACCTAGTGAATTTCTTGCAAATTATTCACAAATAAAAGACAATTCAAAAAATTATTATCGAATTCAATGTTTATTCAATGCAAGAATAGACTTGTAATTTATAATGAAAAAAAACCCAATTTGTTTGTATACTAATGCTGTAATGGAGTTTTGACACGTTTACTACTACTACTACTACTACGCAATTAATCCATATGATTAATATTCTTTCAGCATATATATACACATCGTCCTATGAGAATGGATTGTGTTGATCTACTCTTACTTCAATTAGTTAATATCTATTTTCGTGTAGAAATATAAATTTAGAATGATCGAATAAGTCGATGAGAAAACAAAACACGACTAGTATGTATGAATTTTTTTTTTCAAAAGGAAATTCTTCCATCTTCTTCTCTCCCTATGTGTGTACATTTGTAAATGTATTTAGGCAAATGTCTTGTTGTTGTTAATTATACGGTATTTTTTTTGTAATTTCGAAATACTGAAAAATGTAGTTTTTAGAATGAAGTAATTCTTGTTACTTAATAACATTAATGTAATAAAATTGCATAATGATATATGAGTAAATTGCGAATAAATAGACCATTGAAACTACTAATCTCCACAAAACCCATCTGGTATTAATCAACATATGCTCACTAGTGACTGGCTTTACGAGGTATATCCTGGAGTTCTAGTGAGAAGTAGTGACCAGTGGAGTTCAACCAGGTCTGTTGTGAGATAATAACTCACTGAAGACAATGGTGAATGTGTTACTCAATTTTGTGGATTAGTTGAAGCTAGGGATTAACACCGTTGGGTGCCGGCTCAGTGGTCTAATGGTTAAGTGCTCGCGCGTGAAACCACTAGGTCCTGGGTTCGAATCTCGCAGGGGGCGAGGTTGTGGATGCGCACTGCTGAGGAGTCGTACAATAGGACGGAACGGCCGTCCGGTGCTCACAGATTTCCCATGGTGACCTAGCTTCAATTGACTCATGATCTTAACCATTGAAATAGAACATTTGTTTAGTTATGATATTAATGCTAATGATAATACATAGATTTTGCGAATACATCAGATGTGTTTTTCTTGAATTGAACATTCACTGATTTATACAATACGCATGTCGTATAGTTTGTATCGTGGAATTATCTTAGTTAAACAGTTACTGAACATCAGGAAGCACTAGACAATTGTTTTGTCCTAATACAGGACTCAATAGTGTGCATCCACGATTCCCTAGGAATGGAATCAAGTACGCAGTACATCGTAACGATTTAAGTTATAAATGTAAATCACTGAATTACAACTCATAGGTCAAAATATTAAGCTCTTGAAGCGAGAATCAGAGGTTCTTGGTTCTAGCTTCAATAAGCTCACAAATGTCCACTGGTGGTAAGCCTCATACTGGGACGGAATATTTGTCTAATGCTTCCTTACTTTCAGTGGTTACTTATTAAGATCAATCCTTGATATAAACTATGAAATTCAATAATCTTTATTTCAGATCATCTAAATATATGGTCGTCAGTTCACCAGCTGTTGCGTGACACGGGTTTCGTCTGTTTCTAAGCCATGGAATTAAAAAAATTAGTGGTGGTTGTTTACCTTAATTCTCAAAACTGATGACAAGATAAGAAGTTATCTTCAAAATAAATACATGTATTTATAACATATTCCAGTCTTATTATAAATACAACATAATTCTTACCTGTTCACTTAATACATTTGCCACATTATCTAGTTGAATCAATTCAACTTTACCTTGTAGATTTGGATCATTGCGTACAGCGGATAGAACAGCATTGTATAGACGAAAGACTGTATGATTATGTGATGCTAACGCACCGGTTAGAAATAAAACGGGACATCTAGAAATATAAAAAATGCCAGTTATGATGCAGTGTCGATTTGTTTACAACAACCATAATCTAGTCTATTTATACAGTCTGGAAATAACAGTATGAATTATTGGATGTCAATTCACATTGGTGTGAAAGTGATGGACTCTCCAGGAGATTTGAAGTTACTGGGTTTCATCCTTCTTGATGAGCCTTGCCAAAGAGTTTTACACTACAACATAACAGCTATTCAGTGCTCTATTTGTACAATGATTGCTTAGCTAGAGTTAATCTCTTGGGCGGACTATCTTTAAATTTCACAATATCCATAATCTTCGTTTACTTACTTACTTACTTACGCCTGTTACCCCTCGTTGAGGAGCATAGACTGCACACCAGCACTCTCCATCCAACCTCGTGCTAAACAATCCTTTCTAGTTGTTTCCAGTTGCTATTCATCCTTTTCATGTCTGCTTCCAATTTTCGACGTAATGTGTTCTTCGGCCTTCCACTTTTCCGTTTACCTTCAGGATTCCAAGTTAGGGATTGCCTCGTGGTGCAGTTTGTTGATTTCCGTGATGTATGTCCTATCCACTTCCAATGGCTTTTCCTAATTTCCTCTTCAGCTGGAAGCTGGTTTGTCCTCTCCCACAAAGGGCTGTTGCTGATGGTAGCCAGTCCACGGATACTGAGTATCTTGCGTAGACAACTGTGCATAAGTACTTGTATCTTTTTGATGATGGTTGTAGTAGTTGTCCAATTTTCAGCTCCATATAGCAGAACTATTTTGACGCCTGTAGCTCTTCTAGGGTTACTGCCTATCTCAAGCCCGTGTAAAGGAGGAGGGTCAGGCATTGGGTAGACAACCCCATCCCGTTAAAAAAACCTTTCTAAAAAACGTTAACCAGATTACACAAATTTAAATATTTAAACTTTGCCGTGGGAGTTGAAGAAAGAATTATGTTCCCCCAGGATGATAGCCGAGAATCTTCGGAAATCACGAGGCTGATGCTCCTTCTAATAACCAGAGCAACAATTTTTATAGATACATGGAACGTCCGGACAATGCGGGAGACCGGAAGGATCAGTCAAGTAGCGACGGAAACGAGGACATACAATTTGGCAGTACTCGGAATCTTCGTTTACCATGAACAATTATTCCTTATACTCTAGATTATAAACGTCTTATGTCGGGAAAAAACAACGATTATTTATAGAAAATCACTTAGTTTCAATTCTTTAAAGATCAATAATAATAAAAGAATGTTTCATGGAAAAACGAACGTTTTTAGTTGGAAGACTGAATGAACAGTAAGCACCCACTATGTAGATTCAAACCAAGTGAATGACTCAGTGAAGTGCTATTTTTTCGGAGATTTGATTCTCAAAGCTGCACAACACTACATGTTTATGTACAATAATAATGTATAAAATTCCTTTATTATTATTATTATATCAACTTGTCAAACAGAATAACTTGGAAGTTAAAAATAAGCTAACGTTCAAAACTCCAATATTCCTATTCAGAGATTAAAACTATAATCATTAGGAATTTTACACAATTGTTCCAAAAATACCATAAAAATACATGAAAGTGCTAAAGCGACCTTAGTTTATCAAGTTTTCCTGTAATTAAATATCAGTTATTTCTTTAAAAGTTAACTTCAACGGTATTTTCCTAATTCAGCTTTTCGCAACAACATTTGCTTTTATCTGATTGGTTGCTATGGCTTTTAGTTTGCTAACTTTGTTATGGGCTCCAAGGTTATTTCATGATACTATGTAAACAGAGTTGCTTCTTTCTAATTTTTGACTTCTTTTTGGAACATAAAGCTACGCTAAAGTCCTTTGTTCGCTATCTCTGTCAGCATGTGGAATATTAATCTTGGAGTGTTGTCATGTCAAGCGTAAGGAAAATTCGAGATCCCATTCATTTCACCCGTAATAGAACAATTCTCAAACATTTGCAAATAAAATATACTGTACTTCAACCTGAAAAGGTTGGGTTTTTGTGAAAATTGTAGGTTATCAATGTAGTATTTGGATTGTCCTCATTGTTAATGATTAGAATTGAACTCTAACCAATCGTTGCTGGTGTATGTTCATCCTGAATAGATTGTTTCAACATGATCATTTGTCAAAAGTTGAACAGAATGGATAGATTGTAGCTAACAGTCGGACGCACTATACACATTTAGCCCAATTTAGGACTGTTCTACGAAAATTACATGAATGGAGTCTTAATATGAATAACAATACTGCGGTAACGGTAAATCTATGATGAATTCAAAACATTAACGAAATACGCCTACCATATTCCACTTCTAGTCATAATCCATCAATTCTATGCAATCATGGCGGTCCACACAAGTTTATTTCGCATAGATAATTCTGGATTCACAATGTACATGGTAAGCTTTCGTTCATCTTGTGAACGACACTAAATGATGAGTTGTATTCTAGCTGAGTAACCCATGTTCACAAAGTCCCATCCTATTTCGTTCATTAGTTAGAACTATTTTTCTACTAGTTCCGAAGGTTGTTCATTTCTGGGTAAACTTCTGATGCTTGAACTTAAACCTTGTAGATTTATACTCCTCAGGGAATATAATTACACATGAAAGTATATGGTAATCTGACTATATGTATCTGTCAAAACTTCCACAAATAATACTGTATTCTCCAATAAAACCAATAGAATATGTGCCTTAGAAGCCAATTTACTGTCATTAAGTTAATTTATCCTAGTAATTCTCTGTTAGCAATAGTGGTATAAACAAAAACACTCCGGACACTATATAATACCATCTGATTAATTTAAATGGAGACTTGTTAAATTTTTGAATTATGATTTATATTAGAATCCAGGATGCAATTTTACTATTTTAGGGTTCACCAGTTGAATGCACCTGGATTCAAGTATTTGTGTTCACACTAACACTCGAGTTCAATATTTATCACTTCAAATATCAAACCGTTATTTACCAAGATACGGAGTCGAGATAGCTGCTGACCTATTCAAATGGTAGTCAGATATTTGTAGGGGTTTTGGATCATTCATGTTGTTGTAATATTTCAGAATAGATTTTATTAGTCTGTACTGTGATTTCCTACAACAAATTCTTTATATACGAAATTAGATTTATAACAACAAAGTTATTTCATTTTTATCCTATCGTGAATTAGTGAAAATTTAAATGAAAGAAACTAAACCAGTTTATCAGTTTTACATATATATGGTTACTTACCATATATTTCATAAGTTAATGCATCTATTCATACTAGTGTATACGAGTAACTTATCGGTGGATAATAGTGTTTAATTTGAGTAAAACAAATTTATATATCAGAATGAGTTTTGTGGAGATTTTGGGAAACTTCACAGGTTGAAATCATGAGTCGATTGAAGCTAGGTCACCATGGGAAATCTGTGAGCACCGGACGGCCGTTCCGTCCTATTGTACGACTCCTCAGCAGTGCGCATCCACAACCTCGCCCCCTGCGAGATTCGAACCCAGGACCTAGTGGTTTCACGCGCGAGCACTTAACCATTAGACCACTGAGCCGGCACCCAACGGTGTTAATCCCTAGCTTCAACTAATCCACGAAATTGAGTAACACATTCACCATTGTCTTCAGTGAGTTATTATCTCACAACAGACCTGGTTGAACTCCACTGGTCACTACTTCTCACTAGGACTCCAGGAGGTTCTCCTGGACGCGCACTGCTGAGGAGTTCCATACTAGGACGAAACGGCCGTCCAATGCTTCCAGGTTTTCCATGGTGGTCTAGCTTCAATTGACTCATGATTTCAACCTGTGAGATTTATATATGCTGTCACAAGTGTATTACCATTGTTTTAATTAATAGATTACACAATAAGATCATTTAATTTACTAATCTATTTAAAATTGAAACCAAATGAAATGTTGAACATCATCATTTAATTGTTAATAGATGTTTTAATCATGTGAAATGTCATTCTAAATTAATAAGCAAACATAGAAATTTGACTAATATTATACATATTTTATTTGATGAATTCAATTTGACATATACTTAGTCAATAAACAAAATAACTAACCGTTCATTATTTAACTTACCTTATTTGATCGACATGTTCTAGGATTTTTGTACGTCTAAAAATCATGTGTAAATTAAATAAGCTAATTCATTTGATATTTTGTAAACCACAAAATAATATAATAAAGGAAAACACATTTTAAAAATGAATATAGTTTATTAAGATAGATATACTGATATAATTTGCTGTATCAACCAACCTCCTAACAAACTCTCGATCTCCAGCTACTTCAAAATGTCAATGTTTCAAAGAAAACTGATAAGTAAAATAACCTACCGAATTTGAAATTGCATTTGAGTTTGATTAGTCGTATACCGACTAAACTTCACTAGCTATTAGGTACAGAAATTATCAATCAATGCATAAAGTTGTTTTTTTTTTTTGAACGACATTACCGAAAGTTAGCCTGCCTAGCTATCTAAAGAGCTATAAAATGTAAGTCAAACACACAATCGGGGAATATTTAATTAATTCCGGTCAGTCCGTTTCACCAGAATTCTAACTCAAAACCATTCGTTTAGTTAAAGGGATCAGATCGGAAGGAGTAAAAAAATTATGTACATCAGGGTCTCTAGTTGTTTACTAATTCAGTCCCAACTTTTCCATACAAAAACAGTTTGTTCAATCTTCCATCCTACCTTAGTCCTAACTGTTCTTTATATCTTTTATAAACTTTTGTTGTTTTACTTTATAGTAATTAGTTTTTCACAATCACTGGTTAGGTATCATTTCAACATTCACTTAATCTCACAGTTTAAATTACGAACTGATCTGAGGTAGACAATGATCATTTATTCACAAACTATCATCATCTTAGCATCTTTCATTAACCATTCAGTTAATACATAATTTCCTTTGAATATTTGATTATGATAAGTAATTTGTAGCAAGATATCATTTTAGTATTTTTAGAAATTACACAACACACTTTTATTTTATTACAGACTACTACTACTTTTAGTAAATAAATTGACTATTGTAAAATGTAACAAAATCAAATTGTCGAAAAAGAAATTTTCTTTGTTTTTTTTCTTCCATTGTTTGAGTAACTGTCACTTGAACACAAAATCAAAGAGAGTATTACAAAATATACACTAGGACAATCCATCTAATCACTACTGTCTAGTTTTCATAGGTACTCCAAGGCAAAATTAGTTTCTGACGAATACTATTCACAAATGAAAACAGTTTTCATGAAACTTCATAAAATAAAACCTAAATGTAATTTTTTTTGGTTTTTCGATATTACGAATCCGTTTTCTTAGTTTTTATTACTAATATTGAATTAAACAAGAAGTAAATATGATTACATTAGTTCACATCTTAAATAATTAGTAACTTTAATTATATTCTACTGAACAAAAAAAGTAGTGACAAATAATGCAACATAAAAATATTTATTTAATTAGATATTTCACAGATTGAAATCATGAGTCAATTGAATCTAGACCACCATGGAAAACCTAGAAGCACGGCATCCAATAGTGTTAATGTCTAACTTCAACTAATCCACGAAGTTGCACTACATGATTTCAATCTGTGAAATTTCTAACATCTCCACAAATCCCCTTCTGATTTAATTAGACATGTAAATTGCTTATAGTAGAGTTGTATTGCTAAAATTATATCGACTAAATTAAATTTAGTTCAATTTCAATTTCACTAAAATATACTTTCTTATTTTGTTCCATTTTCAGTGATCTAATATTTAAAGAATGAATTGTTATGCTTCTTTAAGCATATAATTTTTGTTTTTCAAACAACTTTGGAAAAGATTAATACTGTGAAAAAATGTTGATCAATCAATCACTTAAAGCTGTGCTATGAACTAAGTCAGTTTGGCTCAACAATATACATATACCACTGAGCAGACATCCGATGGTGTTAATGTCTAATTTCAACCAATCCACGGAGTTGCGCCACCGTATACCATCGTCTTCAGTGAGCTGATATCTCACAACAGACCTGGTTGAACTCCACTGGTAACGGCTTCCCACTAGGACTCCAGGAGTATCTCTTGAAGTCAGTCACTAGTGAGCAGATGATTATTCTCAGAAGGGGTTTGTGGAGATTTAAGAAATTTCACAGATTGAAATTATGAGTCAGTTGAAGCTATACCACCATGGAAAACCTGGAAGCACTAGAAAACCGTTTCGTCCTAGTATGGGACTCCTTAGCAGTGCGCATCCACGATCCCTCAGCCGCGAGATTCGAACTTAGGACCTATCAGTCTCGCGCCAAGCGCTTCACCAACTAGACCACTGAGCCGGCATCCAACGGTGTTAAAATCTAACTTCAACCAATCCACGAAGTTACGCCACCGTATGCCCTCCCAGTGGTCTAATGGTTAAGTGCTCACGCGCGAAACCAGCAGATCCTGGGTTCGAATCTCGTGGGGTGGGGGATCGTGGATGCGCACTGCTGAGGAGTCCCACACCAGGACGAAATGGCCATCTAGTGCTTCCAGGTTTTCCATGGTGGTCTAGCTTCAACGGACTCAACATTTCAATCTGTGAAATTCCTAAAATCTCTACAAACCCCTTCTGATAATATACATATACATAAATATTCTAGTCGGCAAAAGTTCTGTGTCTAAACAAACTAAATATGAATAACAGAATATTCAAAATAGCATGTATCTGAAATATATAATCAGAATATAAACAATTAAATTTGCTAGTATATCATTTAGGTCATCAAAGTGTTGAATGGAATAAACCAAATATATTCTTTCTTTGAGGCAGTAAATTATATGAATATAATTGTTAAGAAGGACCGATAGAAGTGTTGTGAAACAGATGCCATTGTATAGCTTTTTTGGATTGATATTTGCGAACGTATTAAAGATCCAATGCAAAACTTTAGGGTTATCCAGCAAGCAACATATATATTTAGACTACGGAGTGAAAATCCATTAGACTACATTTCCGAACCCATTCTTTAACCTTGATGACCAGTTAGTATTCATGTCATAGTCTTACAAGAAGCCATCTTCAGTTCGACAAGTTCAATGATAACTTCCCTGACACTAATTCTATTGAGCTAGATTTATAATCCTACGGAGAGTATCAATTGCCATAAAATGATTGCTGACGCGTCGATTAAGGATGCAACCCATTTTCAAGGTTCCCTTCCAACTATGTCCTACCAATCAAGATAGACTTTGGTTAATTTGTGATATAGCTTGATTTATTGTCTTATTTTATGAGTGATTCTATCAGCTAGAGCTTCTTCTTAGAATGCTGATAGTTTCATCTTGAAGTTAATCACTTATGAGTTTTAATGGCTTCATGAATAATTTTTATAATTTGAAAATGATTTATTACATGAGATATATATCATTCATCATTTAAAACGTTCTCAGTAACTATAGATTTAGCCAAGAAATAACTCGTTTCATTGGACTCATTTATTATCCATCTCGTGGTTAACTCTCAAAGTTCCAGTGGAAAGCTGTGACTTGTGAAATTTGATAATGTTAACCTTACAAAATATACCATTGGTAACATCGGATGATGATCTCACTACATTATGTATTAAAAAAAATACTTGAAAATGCTTATTCCTGAATTTTTACTCAATCGTTAACACTGACCACAAAGCTAAAACTTCTTCAATTTCACTGGTGATAGTTGGTTGGTTAGCACCATTCAAAAGTCTACCGTTTATCTTTGGTTTTCAACACTAAACCACCTGAAATTAGTTTGTGTTGAATTAAAATATTTTTCACGGCCAATAACAATATATTCTGATGCAAGTTTTATAGTGAAATGTATCAATAATCAATACTAACTAAATAGTTGTCATTCGACCAACAGTATGTTTATCTATTTTGTTAAAAATAGAAGTCAATATGATGAAATAATCAAAGGTAAAAGGAAAGGTAAAAACACCGAAAAAGAAAATTTTACTAACACATCATTAACAAAACTCTTATATAAGAAATGAATGGACTGTTTTTTCTGTGGACGCGCACGCCTACTTATTTAAGTATTTGTACGCATACATAAGATTAGCGTATACTCGTGTTGATGTACATTTACATAGAAGAAGATTTCTATCAACATAAATAAAAACCACGGTAACTAATAAAAAAAAACACTGAATATTTATTGTTCTGTCTTCTCAACAACAACAAAAAAATACCACCCTGATATTTGAGCTTATTCGGAATTATTACAGTTGAATATTTCACATTCAAATATAACTCTAAGACAAAAAAAGGACGTTTTCACCTTTCTCTAACAATCTATAACTTGAATGGTAATAAACATGTATATATATATACTTATACACAACAAGTATGTTTATATTGAGAAATTGAAGTGATCAAAGTTACACAGATTGTTTTATTAATCGGTCAATTTTAGGACAGTGAAACAAGTAAAAATTTTTTTTCTTTTTTTTCATTTTATTGTTAAAAATTGAATTGTAAACAATATAGATGATAAAAATTCATTTACACAAAAAAAATCATGATCAGTCAATAGGGTTGTATATTGAATAAATATAAATTATATATTATGACAATATAGATTCGATTGAATGAGGTTATTTGTAACTTATCTAATGTTTAATGAGTCTGTTGTATATTGGTCTTTTTCAAGTTTATTTAATGAATGAATGTTACATATTGAAGTGGATATTTCAGTAAACATTTCATTTCAAGTATCTGTTTTTTTCTCTTCTGAATATGTCAATATAACTATGTGTAATATACTAAATGAAAAAAACATAAGTACAATGAACTATTAGATTCTAAAATCAGATCATGAATGATGAATAACATTTCAGTATGAATTATTTAGCCATTTAAAAAAAAAAGTAGAAAATTGGTCAAACAGCCTAGATGCTATACAACTGTTAAATATTAGAAAAAGTTACAGATAATGTTAACCATTTAATCAAATCATCAACTATTCATAAGAACAGAATAAGTGGTTGAAGGCAATGAATTTTGATAAACAATCAATACTATTTACGGAAAATAAAAAAAGCAGTCAGATGAATTGATAGATAGATAGATAAAACGGTGGAGAGAACGAAGAAAACAGAGAATAAAATTTGAGAATAATTAAATAAGGGGAGATTTTCAGATGAAGATGATCAAGATAATCTCTGTTACATGAATGATTATGTTTTTTTGTTTACATTCTTACGGTAAATAGTGATAATGATGGCATACGTTTTGACCTTATATAAATATATATATATATGTATATATATATTCATGATTGTATCTAATAATCCAAATTAACTTGAATGGAATAATTAAATGGACATTACTTGATTTGTTTCAGTATATGTATAAATATACAATGCATGATGACAATAATATACTTATTAACTTAAAGAGTTGACATGATTGATGGAATTTTCTATATCCGGTATACGATGATTTGTAATAATCTAGTTATGACAAAATTTTTGATTGAACTTAAATTTGGACAATGTCATGTGAAATCATTGTCAATATCTTAATATTATATTATATCATGATAAGTTTTAAACTTAAACTTGTTTTGTTGATAGAATTCTAAAAAAAAAGTACTTTCCTTATTTTGAAGATTTCTTTGTTGAATCCTGTTCAGTTGTTATTCTGAGCTACAACATTCATGAGTATTTCATGTTTAAGTCGGAAATTAAACAGTCAAGTCAAAAAACAGCTTGACAATACCAAAAGGATTCATTTCAGCTGAGAATCGTCACTATCATGGTTGGAAATAGCTTATACTGTATACTGGTCTCCGGATTCATCAGTTATATATACACACACAAGATATCATAAGGCATTCAACTCTGAGCATTTAAGCAACCACGACATTTTTACGTCACAAGGTTCTATACAGAACGATTCTCACACACTGTCAATAGTGTTTTTCCTGATCGATATTTATATTAGTCGACATTTCCACTACTGATTAACTGTTTCATTAAATAATTTACAATGCGACTGTTTAATTGACCTCTTCCTTAAACTAAGTTTCAGTATAAACCTTTAAAGTTACGTTTTGAAGTTTCAGTGCATAAGCATACCAAAGTAACTGAATTAACACAAATGTTAACATACAATCATAAGAAAACGTCTATTTAAAGCCAAATATTGATTATTACTAGAATGGATTTAAAATATCCCGTTGCTGGTATTGGTGGCTGGATTTTGGTCAGTCTTCGTTGATATATGTACGTCCTGTGTGAAGTGTTTCGACACAGCTGTCTTTTTCATAGGTTTTATAGAAATGAGGTATTGTGATTAGGAGTGAAAAAATCATCATAATCATTATACAAGTGAGTGAATATCTGAACACAGTAGCTCAGTGGATAACATGTTGGTATTTAAAGCGGAAGTTATCAGATTCCGAGTTCTAAACTGAATATCTCTAGAATATAGGTATATACAGTTGACGAGTCCCAAATAAGATAAAACAGGCATCCTGGACTCCACTACTGATTACAACCCATCTCTTATATAATTATTATTTAGTCTGTTTATCTTTAGAGTAATATAAAATACTTAATTTTAAAAACATTTCTTAATTGAAATATGAAATAGGCGTTATCATTTCAGGTTACAAAACACTTAATTATAGTTTAAAATATTGGTTATCTGATGGAAAGAATCACGTCTTAAAATTTCCCTTTCTCATTGTTCATTTACTAAAAATGTTAGTAGTAAAAGATCATAAAATTAATTTTCTTTTATAAACAGTAAAATGATAAAACAACTCGTTAAATAACTGCATTTAGATTTAAGAATTTACTTGACAAAACAAAAGTATACCATTAACATTGAATTAAATGTGGAGAGGGTTGCAAACACTTATTTATTAATGAAAACATATCTGTGTATATCTCTGATCAATAAAGATAATCAACTACATCAGATCGACCATAAATCTATTATCCGATGATCGAGCGATAAAACTACTGTCTTTTCTTCACTTGGATCAGAAGAAACCTTAAACTGTTAAGTTTGTATCGTATTAGGATTATTTTTATTCATTCCAGGGATTAAGATTCAGATGAAAATTTTAAGGGTCTAAAAGTCAAATGAGAAGTGAGTTTGCCAAAGTTCGTACACGCAAACAGATTGAACGTTCTGTTTTATCTGAGCAATACTATAAAATAATAATGATAGTTAATATTATAGTGGAACCTTATTCAATATATTGTTTGGGTTTGTAATTAGAAATGACCTGAAAAATGACAGTATTATATAAGTCATTCAAAATAACTAATTTAAATTTTGCCGCTGTCATTACACACTAAACGATATCAGTGAAATAATCGTATCCTTCTCCGTTTGTTATTTTTTCGAAAAACAAGATCAAAGATATTTAATGAGGTTCCGAAATATAAAATACTTAGTAAACTCATATATATAGAATAAAAATTTTGGATCACACTACAGTTTAAATTTAGTTAAGTTTACCGACAAATCAATGGAATATACTAGTCAGATAATTCCAAACTATTCAACTGAGTAAATTTAGTTGACAAAAACTGGGAATAAACAAGGAGTCATTGGTACTCTTTTATTTTGCAAAACTGGCTCTCTAAGCTTAGCGACTGTATATAACAAACAAGTTAACCTGATTTTACAAGAGAAAGTTATGGAAAATATTCTTTGCACAACAGTTTGTGAATGATGATTGATTGATGCTCAAGAGTGATTTTATTTTAAATAAGCTACATTCGTATCGTAGTTTAAAAGTGATCAAAATATAGTAGTTTCATTCATTTTCTGACCTAATTTATTCCTTTTGAACTGTAGTTTTAGTTTTTTATAAAATTGAATTGTATCTATCATTGAAATCTAGAATCTTTATTTCGTCTTATTTGGGATTTATGAGTTGGATGTACCTGCAGCACAGTATTGATGTTCATTCTGAGACTAGAATTCAGTCACTTTCATTTCAAACGCCAACGTCTTATCGACTTAAATTTCCAGTCAAGATTGTCAATGACTTTATGCAACGGAGATGAAATACAATCCAGTTGTAAAGGTTTGAATCTTCTCACTGTTAGTGTTAAAGATTGCAGTTAATCAGTCTATTTTAGCATTTGTGCATCCTGGTTGAATTGTCACAGTATTTCCATCAATCATGAGCATTTTAAAGCAAAGATGGAAAATGGCTAAGAATGAAATCCACGTTGTGAGCTTTATCCTATTTGAAACTTGTCAGCTGAGTGCGTCTACGTCTACGTCTTGATGTTTATAATGAGACTAAAATCCTGTACCGGAATTCCTCTTCTCGACATTATTCAATTTTACTTGGAAGAAACTGTAGCATAACTTCTCACTGAGGTGAATCTCTGAAGATGCACATACGCCAATAGAGACTGATCAATTACAGTCCCTAATATTAACAAAGATTAAATAAAAATCCTCATAAACGAACTTATCCTGTTCGGATTTCTATGATATTTAATATTATTTAGTTTTTTCGCTTTTCGTTGAATTCTTTTACCATTAGGATGATGTGAAAGGTGTAAACCAATTTGACCACCGATTTATAATCGTACTAAATTTAATGGTAATTACAATTGAATAAAACTCCATTTAACGGTAATAATGGATAAATTTCTTTTAGTTTTATACTTGAATATAAAAGAACTATAAACTTTAATATTTGATAGATAACAAATCCCAAACTAAATTACCACAGCATACATATAAAATATAGGAATTAGTTTCCATTTACTAGTTAGTATTGTGCTACATAAAAGGTCTGATTAACTGAATTTAACTTCAAGAAATCTACTGCATTTTTTTGTTATATACTATGCATTTTGAAGGTTGAAATAGATTAAGATTAAAAACGTGTAAATTAAACACATCAGATAGCTTTTTTTATTAAATGTTACAGCAATTAGGGAAATTACTTTTAAATTATTAAAAAGAATCTCTTTTTATCCTGTCATCTATAATCAGTTGTACTTTTTTGTGTTTACTCATTGAAACTGTCCGTAAACCAGACTAGACAAAATATCACAAGGTAGATTACATTTCAGTATTCAGTCACCATAGAGTCTAGCAAAAATATACTGTAGCCCAAGATGTAGTATCACAATGGCATGACGAGATTAATTTAGAAAAAGGTGAATAGTAAAATAGCCATCTTACTGTAGGTCTCTCCATGGAACCGAAGAGTCTCATAGTGGGACAGAACAATTGCTCAAAGGTTCCTAATTTTCAATGACTGCTTATCTTAGGTCGATTTGTTATCTGAATGACACTGAATATTCTTCACAAATCCTCACATTCGTAAATATAAATACATTAATTTTCAATCAATTTTCATATCACTTACGACATAAATGACATAATAAATTTGTTTAAATTTCTCGGGTTAATTGCTGTTCTAAGTGATTGACGAAATTTTATGAGGACTTCTCGTACTTCTATTTCGTTTTCTGAATCTGCAGCCTATAAATTAAAAAAAAAGTCACAGGATAAATGATAGATCAATTTTTATCAGAAAAAATGTAAACTTATACACAAAAATCGGTATCCAATAAAAAACACTTGGTGACCTGTGGCGTCAGTGGAAATGTGATATTTTTATTAAAATTAAAAAATACTCACAATTTCTTAAAACTCTCAGCTAAGTTTGTAAGATTAAATCAAATTGCACAAAACTAGTATTCTTTTTCATGAACGTTTGAAATGTTTCTGTGATTACTTATTCATGCTTTTAAATAGTATCATCGTTGGTCGGATCAGGAATTAACTGTCTAGTTTTTTGTTTGCTTCTTAATTATATAAGCTTAAAGTTATTCGAAACTAAATCAAACATTTATTGTAAACATTTTTATTTCATTATTGTATTCAGCTTTGAAACTATAGAACAGAACATAAGGAAAAACACTAATCAATCAAGTCAGTTAGTAATGAGTTGATTACTTAACGATAATACTTAATCAAGTCTATGGAGTATTATTAATTAATTTGATTTGAGAGTATAAACACATTAAAATTTGATTCAGCAGCTCAGTAATTTCGTGATTACTACAAAGTTATAAATCTTTTAACAAATTATGAGGGTATGTTAAGATAGAACTCCCCTCTGGTACTCTTTACTCTCTTAATTAATCCTCTTATTTTTGAAATGTTATTCCTGTTAAAAGAAATTTATTAAATTACTTTATTAACTGATCAACTGGTAATGAGATTTACTACTTATACATTTACAAACTAATCATATATATATTGATGAGAAATTACTCTAAATTAACAAAATCATTATATAAGACTATAAGATAGAATTAATGAATGCAAATTAATAACCAAATAGAAATACAACAATGTTTTCTAAATATAAAGTAAAACAATTAACTCATCACATTATAATAATAGAAATAAAATGACATTTGAATAAAGTTACTAACATTCTCCAGTTATATGTATATAATTAATTGTTTAGTGTTCAAACAACATTCATCATAATGAAAAAACTCAATGCATAAAACTTTGTAAATGTTATTTTGAAGGAATTATGAAATCTTAGAATAGAATTTTGATTCTATCTTTCAGTAATATCATATAAATCAAATGAAAAATTAGTTATAAATGATTATATTCAACTCAAGTCTATCATTTATCTCATAAGACAAGAGTCTTAAAGTTATTTTTGATTGAAATCATGAGTCAATTGAAGATAGACCACCATGGAAAACCTGGAAGCACTGGACGGCCGTTTCGTCCTAGTACGAAACCCCTGAGCACTGCGCATCCACGATACCACACCCCGCGAGATTAGAACCCAGGACCTATCAGTATCGCGCTAGGCACTTAACCGACTAGACTACTGAGCCGGTATCCAATGGTGTTAATGTCTAACCTCAACCAATCCAACTCACGAAATTGCGCGACCATCTTCCATTGTACTGAGGTAGACACCTGTTTCTACCCGACATGGATTAGCTCCACTGGTCACGGCTTTTCATCGGAAATCATGTCTTATACATGTTAAAAATAGTCTAATCTAGTGGATGGTAGAAGTGAACTAACAGAACACTAGTAGAAAGGAAATACTAATGTGAATTAGATGTACATGTAAATCGAAGAAATATAAACATGAAGTGAAATAGGAGTAGTTTTTTGCATTGCCAACTGATATAAGATGTAGAGTAATTTAGAAATAGGGAATAATGAACAAGTATTTCATTCTACTAAGGTTTCTATAGTAAAATACATTCACGAAACGATTTATGAAGTGATCATTTCAATGGAAAACTAAAATACACATCAATATCAGATGATATTGTTACATTTTAAGTTCCTAGAGAGTTGTTAGGATTGATTTTCAGTATTTGTTTAAATATCTCATTCAGAATAATTCAGTATTTCGAAATTGTTTGGAGATATATTTTAACAAAACAACATGTAACGAGCACTGATTATTGTTCAATGTTTAGATCACAAAATGTGATTAACTTTAATCTAATTCTTATCATTTTAATATTATCACGTTAATTACAATTTCAATATACGAGATTTGTAGAGATTGTCAAATTTTATTGCTTGCATTACAACCTGAAGGTCCTGGATCCGACTACCAGTGGGGTCATTGATCCAAACTACTTAGGAATTACACACAAAAACGAAGTAGCTACCAAGCGTTTCTTAGTTTCAACTATTTGTCTAAGGTTAGTTCGTGATGTAAACTAAAAAACCACAATTTTATGGTGAAATTCAAAGAAGACTAATATTAATAATAATCGTACAACTATCAGTGTACAGAAGAATATGAAACGTAAATGTGAAAGTACATAGAAATTAATCAAATAGAAATATACCTTTTTTACTGTAATACACCTGTAATCTCTAACAGTCTTATATTTCAAGAATTTAGGAAAATTGGTAAAAACAAAAGAGTAATTAATTATTATTGCAAAAGGAACTTGAACAATAACTAGTAATTCATTTCTATTATAGATAATGAAAAGTATTTTCTTATACTCTCTACCTTGCCAAAGCGAGATATAAACTATCTATAATGTAACTAACCTATTGATTAAAAATTGATGTACATTCAAGTGGATTTTACTGTTTGTGTAAGGGCCAGTGATACTACACGGCTGCCTAAACCAATGTAACTAAGATGGAATTCAAACCCTTAATATATTTGTAAGTATCATTACCAAAGTTTGATTTGATAATTTCGAATAAATTGAGCATTGGGTTGATTGTTATAAATAAAAATAATATATTTGTAATATCCCAATGAGTAGAAAATTGGATTTTCTAACGTTTCGTGACTTAGTGTAAGTCACTTCTTCAGAGAATAAATAACCAAATTAAAATTAATTCAAGTTCAAATTGTACCATTTGGTTATTTATTCTCTGAAGAAGTGACTTACACTAAGTCACGAAACGTCAGAAAATCTAATTTTCTACTCATTGGGATATTACATATATATTATTTTTATTTACCTTAATATATTTGTTGAAAGATCAATTTCATAACCAATAAACCATCACTAATGTTTACAACTTTATATCATGACAATGATGCTAAGAAATAATTCATAAGTTTTTATATTCACGACTTAAATTAATTAATGGAAAACATCTGATCAATTAATGCTAATTAGCATATATGTAGCAGAATATCTTTAGGGAAAAAGGCTGATTAACCAATATAAGCAATTTAGGTGAACGGAAGTTTTAAGGAGTTGACAATTTTTTTACAGGTCATATAAGGACAAATCAATCAAAAGTTATGTTCACGTTGGTAACACCCGAAGCTAGAATCAGTAAAAATATCTTGGGTGATATAGAAAAGATGACAAGGAAGCTTATTAATTTATCTCTCGGATTCCTCTGAAATAGAATATAAAATACATTAAAACAAGACTGTATTAACGTAATTAGTTAGAAAAACAATATGGTTAACGGTAAATATATTTATTCATTAAAATAGTTTGTTTCAAGCAAATGATGAGAAACAGGGAATATCCTATCTCTGTTCCTTCTCAGTATGAGTTACTTTACTTCACTCACATTTTTGCCTTGGATGACACCTTGGAATATCAGATGTTGTGGAGAGTGTGATCCTCAAAGTAAACAATCTCCGGAAATCTTGTATCCTAAGGATGTCTTTAATGTTATTAGTTTTTGAAATATCTATCAGTTCTTCTATTAGCCGATTTCGATAAATATTGATTATTTTAAGTAAAAAGATTCTATAGATAGGCTAAACATATATCTGTTCACCATTGAATGTTTATTAACCGGTTAACTGCGATTACGTAACAACCCTTTATAGTCAGATAAATTGTTCAGACATCAATTGTCACACTTATGAAATGATAAATTCACCTCAAATTAACATCAAACAGAGACTATTTAGAAAGTAGGAAGAAACGAACGTTTGTTTCGTCCGGTTTTTGTATCTCTAAAGAATCAACACATTACCTTGAAACTTCATAGAAAGTACAATATATTCGGATTTCCATGTTGGGATCCAGTGATTCAAATCTTCAACAGTAGTTATTTTACTTTTAGATGTGATCTTCATCTAATGTTATTCACGAGTTACTGTTTCATCACCTTTCCGGATACTAGTCTACTTATGTATGCGACATATACTTACGGATACACATGCTGGTGTTTTATTTTGAATTTATAGAAAATGAAATATATTTCGATGCAAATATTTTTATTGATTCTGTCTTTCTAGATGACATTATCATTGCGAATTACGGAAAACAATAAACTATCAAAATTTTACAGATGGTCGTCATCACTTTGCAACAACGGCTGTTATGGAATACTACGTGGGAAATATAAGTTTTATTTATAAATGTAGGGTTGAACAAAAAACTACTGATAATTGTTATGAAAAAAATTTTTGTTGATGTTCGTGCATTTGGACATTAATTTTACAAATAACCGGTGAAATCCCTAATACTGTTGACGACGACCAAAGAATTTTCAAAACCTTTTCACTCAAATTATTCACGTGTTACCTATATTTTAGCTTGCATTCTATCTAACGAATAATGAGTTTCATAAAACCATTACTTTAGTTATAAAATCAATATTCATTTTAGTATTTTACCAGCAAAGCGTTTTGTTATAAGATTGTCTTATTCTGTTGTTTTTTTCGCCTTACCGTGAAAACATTTATATTTATCAAATTTTCGTTAAACATTTGAATATGATAAACTATGCTAGAGCAATTTGGTCATCATTATCCAGGACAATAATTTTTAGAGATTTAATTAATAATAACATCGTTTAGTTGTGATCAACGTAAAACATTAGCTCAACTTAACATACTATAACAACATAAGAAAATGAAATTAACATCATAAATAGTACAAGAGCCTTAATAATAGTGGGAATAATGACAAACTAAAAACTGGGAATATGGTTCGATAAAATTTAAAGAAAATGGAAATTTACCTTCTAAGGAAAAATAATCAATAAATGTAAATATTTACGAATGCAATCTATTTAAAGTCATGTCAGTCAACATCTTCAACCGTTGGTTTTTATTGTTTCTTAAATTTCAAATCAGTGTTCAGTAACTGTCAATATGTCTCAATCATATTCTCTTTCAGAATAATAGAACTGTATATAAGGAGTACATTGTGGTAAAATTTTGTAAAACTGTACCTGAAAAGACGCTGGAAATGCAGAGTTTAAAACATTCAACTTCAGAACTAATAATCATAAATACTATTTTCTTGTAGAAAGTATATTTTATGGATTTTCTCAAATACAAATCTTACGGTTTCGAAATAACGTTAGTGGTGAGGTAATAATAGCGTTTGATATGAAGAAATGAGAGTAGTTTATCAAAACCTTTGCAGTAAATAGCTCTTAATACTATCGAGTGTAGTTTATCTCAAGGTCAGTAAAATTTTTACTAGTTATCGAAATGTCATATTTTGAAATAGCAGATTTTCAGTTCAAGGTTTGTCAACATTAAGTCTTCGTTATAATGAGATTCTAAATTCTTGGTTTAGAAATGATCTAATATCAAATATACGTCATGTTGAGTCGACCTTAATACGACAGAATGGTCATCTTACTGAGCTTTGGCTTTTAACATTTCTCTGAAAGATGTTAGCCTATGGTATTTAGTCTTTCAATTGATTACAATTAAGAATCAGAACAAAGTCAAATTTGAAAAATTAAAGCAACTGATAGTTTCTAGTCAATAAATAGGGAAGAGAAACAAAGCACCTGTGATCAGAAACGAATGAATCTGTAAACGTTCTTCAGTGGTTAATTTCACATTCATGTGTATAGTCAAAATGAAGATAGAATTACATAATTTTAGCTCAAGCTTAGACAGCGATATAATCTGTAGGTAAAATTAAGGTTAACATTTCAATTAAAAGCCTCACCATAATTTATAAAAAAAGCTTTCAGTAATTTAGTATTCTATAACTGTCACCAGTTATATATCATTACAGGTATAAATTAACTGATTTTCCACACAGGAATTTATTTTAGATGGCTTTGAGCCACAGTAAGGTTGAAGATTCGTGACATAACCCGGTTGCTTTAACTGAAATAAGTGGGATAGGTCGTGATTGAAAAAAGGACGGTGGATAAAGTAGAAAAAATAATTGCTTCCAAAACTAACAACATAAAGTTTGCAGCAGAGTGGAAATTTCCGATAAGATATTTACTAAAAACACATACTTAGGGAAAAAATATATCGTTTCAGTCAGCATTATATATGTATATATGTATGAACTACAACACTAATAAATTGATGTCAACTGGTTAGGAGTGTTACACAATTTGGAATTTCATAATTGATTACAAAATATTTTCGAATGAATAATTAAGCAATTTGGAGGAAGAATGATTTGGTAATTATGATAAGCTGGTTAGAAATGACTTAGGATTCGGTAAGTCTGTCATCGTATCGTTGAACACCGTTCATTCTAATTGAGCGAAGGACAGTTCAAAATGAATAAGTGTTATATACTTGTCCACCTAATGGGCACAGGACAGTAAGCTGACTTGAATAAAGCTTTCAAAGTTAGCCATTGTAATCCATCAAATCTTTCACATAGTCTTTTAATTATCTCTGAAGCTACTAGGATCCATATTCATAAAGCTAACTCTTGCACTAAAATAACGTTTATTCAACCCTTCTGTCTACATCGGCCATCAATATTGGAGTAGTTATTAGTTGTAATTTGATCCACCTGATTCTTATATAAAATATTCTTTTATTTCTTCAAATGTTTTTGGTTATTTACAAGATTTCAATATTTGTCACTTAATTCTTGCATAGTATTATAAAATTGACTTCTTAATAAAATATTGTAGTAACTTTCTAACTTCTTGGACGGCCTGCTGAAATATCTGAACTACCTGTCCCAGTCATCTAAATATTTCAGCAAGTTATCTGTTTTTATTTGTATTAACACATAATTATATCTATTAATCGCCTAATCTATTTAGGCGCGTTTATGAAAAGTTTATAACTTTACATTGTACAGGTTAAAAAAATGATATAATCAGCGACATCGTGATGGCTGCAAGTAGGCATTGAAAACAACTAACATTATTCAGATGTCGATTCCTGAACTGCTTACATTTAACTGGTGATCACTCAACATTTATCACGAGGACCGATCAAGAAATAAGAAGAGGAAACTTGTTGAAATAGTTTGTGTTGAAAATTCTATATTGTACCAAAAATATAATCTCGAATAAAACCATTCATAATAATAATATGATACAATCTGATAACCAATTAATTATATGTTTTTAATTTTTACAAATCATTACTTTGCTTATTATTTTTAACACATCATCACTCTTCCAATCATTTAGTTAATCATTCAACATTATTTTCATAATCAGTTGTGAAAATTTTACATTGTCTAACTCTACTACTTGGTTAGTATTATTTTTTTATTACTGTAAATGATGTATATGTATGTATTAGTGTAGAGCCATAATAGAAAAACCAATTGAAAAGAAATATTTCTTCGTTCTGTTTATTCTTTTAGTAAGAATGAGAGTTATCCGAGATTTTTCAGTCAATCGGTTGGCTAGAAAATTTACTCAACTTTTCTTGATGTTCATTTACTTAGATTCAGATAAATGTTTTGGGTGGATGTGTTCATATAATAATAATAATAATAATAATAATAATAATAATAATAATGATAATAAAGTATTATTATTATCATTACTATTATTTACAATCACTTAGATTTTACCGTTTTTAGCATTCATAATTGTCAGTGTTTGTTGGCATATATTGAAGAAATGTCATGATACTGAGTGTAACCATTAGCTGGTTGAATTTATGATAGAGACTAGCAGTGGAATCCAGGACATATCACATGGATGTACCTGTATCACTGTGCTGAGGTTCCTAATAAATAATTCCATTGACAGTTTAATGAGATGAGTCCTAGATTTTAGTCTTAGTATTAATATCATTTATAAAATTAAGAGAGGAGAGTAAGACTCGGTTCCACTATTTATCATCATCCAAAATATAATCAATAATATACGTTGTTTATTAAGAAAAGAGTATTATCACTTATCTATTAAATTAAATGGTTCATAGTCAGGACATATTACAGTTTATGTTTTTAATAAAGTGAAAACATGGATATAGAATATTTTCAATATACTAGTAACATAGCATTAATCGATATAATGTATGAAGTTTTTGTAATTAAAATTAAACTGTTTATAACATTTTTACTGTAATATTTTATACGAATTTTCATTCATTATTTGTTAATTTGGTTCTTAGTATAATTCGGTATATTTCACATCAAGACAACAGAAAAGAAAAATTTACGAATACATATGGGTCCAGTATTAGAATATAATTCGAATAAAATTAATTGAAATGAATTACTGAATAGATCTCGACCAATGCTTCTAATCTTAAAATATATGCTCCAAAATATCTTTGTTAACCACTATATATTATACAAGAGACTGATTGAATATTGGGAGATGTCACGTCATATGATTTTTTCACGATAATTGAATGTTATTTATCAAGGTGTTTTTTTCGGCTGTCACGACTGGAGCTAGGTTATTAAAGGTCCGTATCAGTCAGCGAGAAACTCATATTTTAAAGAATCCGTTCATATTGTTGTAGAGGTTATTGGTAGGTGATAATAAATAGATCAGTTTTTATTGTTAGGTGGTTGGAGATGGTAGGCGGGAAACCCTGAACTTAGGTTTCGTGCTGTCTCAAGACTCATCAACGAGGTACATTTGTAATCTTTAGGGAACCAAAACTCCGTTACGAATTCGTGCACGCTTCACTTCAGTGGTGAATCAGTCGTCTATATTTCAGTCCTATAGGTCAGTCACAATCTAAACATTTCAGTGATAACGTTCCAGACAATGAAGCTGGATTGTGTTGGTTCAAAATCCACAGGAAACATGAGTTCTTCTTACGGTTTGTTAATGAATACCAGACAGCATCAAAACTAGGCTGGCCAGCAATTTCTGCTGACTACCTTCAACTACCTATGATCATTATAAGTTTACCTAATTCATCCTAACTCTTATGTTTATAAATGAATTGTGATCATTTGTATTAAACTAGTTAGAATTTCCTTTTACATCGTTTAAATACAATACTGAACTATTCAATATTAAATGACAAATTAGACTTACCGAGCCAAAACGATGCATTAATAAATATGATTCAGCAGCTGGATTCATTCCAACTGTATTTAATTTCCATCCAATTAACTGAAATTTTGTAAAAGAAAATTAGTGGTCACATTAAACTGAACACACAAATGCTCAATATTTATCATGATGGGGTTTTTTTGAAGTTTATCAAACGGAAAACATCCAATTACAAACCATTTAGATTTCAGTTTGAGTAATTGAAATGAAAAGACTTGAGAAAAAATAAATTCTATTCTTTAGTAAGACTTTTGTTCATCTTTGGCTGACAAATTACTTCATGACATCAAGAATGATGATTTAAACTGTACCAATACAGATATAAACTAGTAAAATGAAGAAGTAGTAAAGAATAATAGAGTTGACTTATTCAGTTTACAGATAATTAAAAAGAATAACATTATACATATTGAATCGTGGACTATCACCAGAAATATTTTTTACACTTCAATCATTATCAGAAGGGGCTTGTGGACATTTTAGAAATTTCGCATATTGAAATCATGAGTCAAATGAACCTAGACCACCGTGGAAAACCTGGAAGCACTGGACGGCCGTTTCATCCTAGCATGGGACTCTTCAGCAGTGCGCATTATTTTATACATTGAGTTTTTTTTTCAAACATCCTATCTACTTCAAAGAATCAGTCTTGTTGTAACATGTCTGTTACATATTGCTTGAGTAATTTTATTAGTATAAAACTCAGAAGAGACAGAATGATAGAGTATATGATAAATGAGAAACTTTTCACTTTGTTTATAGACTATGTAGGGTATGGGTGAAAGTACGTACCTTATAGAAAAAGAATGAAGTTGAATATTTTCAAAATTATTTTAGGATTTCATCTTAATCAGAATAATCGGTATTATTATTCTCCTTCTTTCTTACTTTATTTTGGTCATTCAGCTGAAACAATATTCATTTGTTAACATAATAATTGAATTAGAGTGAACATAAAAATAATTAAGGTTAGTGAAAGGACTGAGAAGGAATTTTACCAATCGTTTATAAAAAAGTAATATATTAGATCGTCCTGAAGATTAACAGATTGGAATTACAAACGCTTACAAACTATTCTGCCATTTTTTCACACTGAATTCATCGTCACTAAAAGTTAACTAATATCAAATGAATAATTCTATTCTCAAAGTTTCAAGTCAACAGAGAGTATAGTTTGCTTTATGTAGCAGTATTTCATAATTTTATTTTCAAGTTGGAATGTATGGAATTCAAATGAATTAATACATATAATTGTTCAGGTCTGAAAAACAGTATACAGTGTCAGTGTGTCAAATGATCAGAGGTAGTCAGAAGTAAATCCTTTTTCACATAGGCTTCGTGCGATTCACATCATGTCAGTAAGATTTACTTGCAATCTTAAAAGAACTTATCAGCATGATAACAACTTATAAACGTTGTTGAGTTACTTAGAATAGTAGACACATGGTCACTTTACCGATAGAATTAGATCAGTTCTAAAGGACTAGACAAACATGACATTTATCACCAATTAAAGGTCAATTAAGCGTACATAAAAGTCTTATTAATCATAATCAGATATGCCAAGATAATCTATTTAAATTAGAATGATTAATGTCGAGAAATTAGTTTACAATCAGTCAGTTATTAAGACTGTAAGATCTGGTATATACAAGTTTCTCCAAAAGTTGTCTCATGTACATAGTTTACATTGATAGGATAATAAGCTGTAGAGGTAGAGGCATAATAATAACACACTCCACGTAATTAAAAGCCATATCATGAAAAATATATATTTAAGAAAATTGAATAAGAATAAGGAATATAAGGCATGAAATCGAAATAAACCCATGATTTGTAAAGATAAAGAATGAAGATAACTATACCACTGTGACAGGTTTAAAATATTTTAGGAGAATGGAATCTTGATGATTTAGTTTACGTGATGGGTATGAAAATGCTACGGATATGCCTGTTAGTCCAGTTCGAACTTGTAGTCGCTTTTAAATGAATCCAAAAATTTTGAGAGTTTAACATATAATTTTTATTAATATGAAGGGATTTTTGGAGATTGTAGTTATTTCTCAGTTAAAATCATGAGTCAATCTAAGCTGGAATGCCATCAAAACCCGAAAGCACTGGACGGCCATTTTGCCCTAATGTGGGACTCCTCATCAGTGAGAACTCAATATCCCACATGGGGGACTTTATGGAATGCAGATATTACACCAGGATGAGTGGGCGTACAGAATGCCAAAGTGTCTATTGTTAAGATGCTGGCAAATATTATTTATTAATGAAGCTAACACTTACATACACAGTCATCAGTGTTAGCAATATTAGTTCATTGATAAAATGAGTATAAATATACGCAGGTCCAAAATAAAGTGTCGTGGTCGAGAGTCATTTCGTTAGTCATAACGCGTAATACTGACCCCAAGTAAGTATATGAATTTCAACCTTATGGGATTTATGAATGAAAACTGTTGTTCATAAATGTAGATTGATCTCAAATGCTGATGTGAAACCTATTTACTGTCAATAAAGAATAAAATTTAGTTGATGTTACATGTCTCAAACGTTCATCCTCGTTGTTATCACCTTACAAGTTTGTTAGTTTCCTCTGGCGACTATAACTAATTGTCTCATTATTAAGAGGGAATGAAGTGATCAAAGGATTACCTTGTCATTCTGTTACATCCCAATAAGCATAGTGAATAGTAATTTTTGGGATCCATATCTCAGAGGCTCGGTTTGGTGTTCTGGACGTAACTGGCTGGGCTAAACGGGAAGCAGGACCAATAAGGACTCTAGACTGCTCGTACGTGTTTTATACGTCACTGGTCCGATCGACAATTCAGTGCTCTCTAATTGGCGGTATCGTTACGTATACATTAACAAGGCACATATACCACAAGTTATAACACATTCAAATGCTTTGAAACCGTTAAAACATTATAGAAGTTTACTAAAATTGAGGTCAAGTTCTAAAGATTATATTTCTGAGCAGTTTTAACTACTTCGTAGTTGTTGGTGAATAAGTATATTTTGGCCTCTCAGATTGCTTAGATATCAAAGTGAATGTGATCTCAAACTCTCCCCACTAAGATTTTAGTGAAGTTCCATTACTTTTCAAAGTATTTTTAAATCGTCTCACTCATGACTGTAGCCGATAACCATTTTCGAATTGATATGGGAGAAGATGTAGCTGTTCGGTTATGTTACAGAGACATATCGGCAATATAAGTAAGCTTTTTTACTTATCAACGGGTTTTATAATCTTAATACGACGACGGTCAAACGTGATTTATTTATTCTAATGTTAAGTGTCATACAAAATATGGAAAATTAAATGTTAACATAAAACAGTGTAAGGAAAATATTATCAACATAAAAGACGAATTTCTTACTCTATCTCGAAGACTTTCAGATAACCCTGCAGTTGTCCCAGTACAATGAATTAAAATAGCACCCAAAACTATGTCATATCTTAACATCTGAAATAACATATACACATGCAAGAATAAAACAATACGGATTAAATCAATCAGACAATCAGTTTAAGAAGAAGATGATTAATTCCTATAACTACAGTATTCTAAAGTACATACCACCAGTCTAACTAATATATTTGCTCCAGCTCCTTCACCGAAAACAACAACATACTGTAATCTAGTAATATGGTAAGAAAAACATTATTTATATTTTTTGATTGAAAAACGGAAAGGTTACCTAAGTGCATTGCATACTTCGCTCATGCCTTCTGCAAGTTGTTGAACTGAAGGAAATGTATAACTAAAAACAATAATAGAATAACAAATTTTGAATGGATTGAAGCTTTAAAAAAATGGTTAGAATATGTGTTTGGGATAAGATAAGCACGAAGTAAAATAAGGTACCTAAAAATCTCAATGTCTTAGGGACTATTCGCACTTCATAAATCTCATAACACTTTTTATTCGACTTAATATATTTGGAAACGGTCATAGAAACATTGCACCCTTATGTTTCTGATTTATCGAAGATCACTGAATACGTGGGTTTCACACGTCACAAAAAGCTGGTCTCAAAGACTTAATTAAACCTTGGTAAATTCCAAGAAGCTAAACATTGACAGTCATGAAGCTTGAACTAAGCAGTAATACGATGTCTGGCAACGATTTATTTGAAACTAATTTTATCGGTGCGCTTAATAAGGCTTCCAACATACTATTTACATTTTTTTATGTATGTGTGAGTATCAAGATACTGGTAATTAACGATATTACCATACTTTGAACATATTCAGCCTATGAAATTGGTGAATAGTCTCGTTTTCACCTCGTTGTCTATTAAAATGCTTCTAGGTCAGAAGTCCAGGTTATAAATTGAGATGAGAACACCAGGTCTTCATAGCTGAAAAACTATCTGAAACAAAAATTTAGATGGAGAGAAAATACTTGCTGCTTTTAAAGACAAGTTAATTTGCTTGCTTTAATAATACTAAACAGAAAATTATTATTCCCTTATGCCTAACAATGACGCGTAATTTGTCATGAACTGTAAGTATCTCAGGTGTCCAAAACATCATATAATTGCCTGTTAATGTTGTTATCATCGAGATGTCATTCAAAACTGATGAAATGTATTTAGATATATGACTTACTCTGCAGGTAAATCCGATTCACCGTCTCCTTGTCCTGGAACATCTACATGTACCCAGGTGCATCGATTAACTAGCGGTTCCATGGATTCGTGTGCAAGAAAATTAATAATTTCATTATCTGTAGTGATTAGTGCATTTTAAATTATTTTGAACGTTTAGCATACGATTGCATCCAAGATCATGAACTGTCAAGAAAGCAACTTTTGTATTACGTGGACCCTGTTTATGGAATATTTACTTCCAAGATAAGTGATTTACCTGTATGAATACGTTAATTTTTCCACAACTTTCAGTGTTCACAACTTGATGTTCTATCTAACAAAAAATAAGCATTTGTGTAATAATTAATGTTAAATTTATCAGGCTAACCGTAAATTATGATTTTGCAATTACTTTTTAGAACTGTAACTTTGGGACAAATGGAAAGTTAAATAAAGTAAACTAAGAGACAGGCAGACACTTGTCGTGGTTCGTAAAATAATTGCTGTGATTTGTTCGTGGTTGTCTTAAGGCGCATTGTAAATCATTACAAAGCTTTGAATAAAATGAGCATCAGCGCCCTGAAAACAAGGAGTATCTAGAAATAGTAACATTAAGCTGATATGTAGTGATGATTCTGTCACTTCTGTGTGTATTCTCATAAGCAAGTGGATTTGTATAAAATTAGTTCTAAAAATTCAAAAAAGTGAATTAAATGCCTTAGGAAATACACTAGTCTGGAAATTCAACGATTAATGACGGTCTATATGATACTTTTGTCATAATCGACAGTCGATGATGGAACTATCTAAAACGTTGTCACAATATGGACTCGCATTCCAATCGTTTTTCACTAAGAAACAACCTCAAAATCGATAATAGGAGCGCATTCATATATCTTGTTAATTTGCTTTTAATACTTTGTAATTTTAAAGACTATCGGCAATATTCATCTTATGTTCTTTGACTGAACTCATGACATTTTATTGCTCCAATAATGTTGACCACTTATTCGTTTTCGATAGCGTTTTCACGCCTCTGATAAGGTACCAGACTTTTGACATTAACTTTACAGTCCATTGTGCTGCACATTTTCTGAGAAATAAAGCTAAGGATGAACGAAATAACTTTCTGAGTGGACGATACCTACAATGTATATGACCAGGATAATTAGACAGTTTTGGAATGCTAGTCACTCTTGGAAGTGTAAACTGATATTTCTTTTTGGTCACAATCGGATATACAAGCCATATCTGTCCATGAAACGCTTGTTTTGTTTGGAAACTAAATGAAATTAAATAAGTCTCTATTTATAGGTAGAAGAAATGAGAATAATAAAGGTCGATTGAAAGTTGATTATTTGGAGTTTTAAGTCGCACAACAAAACCGTCTTAATCATACGAGCAGATGTTTGGTATTTTAATAGGGTAAAGTGCTATCCGTTTTAAAAATAACGATTTACACTATATAGTATGTGATAATCCAAATATTATGTGAAACAGCGTTTAAACGAAATGTATCAAACAGCTATTATGAAAAACTTCTGATGTTAATAAAATCTGTGACTTATCACCCCACTTAGGGTGATGAAACGATCCATCAAAAGGAAAATGCAATTTTACAAAATTTCAGTCCATATTCAAAATTTTAATTTCAAGGACAATAATTAGAGTATTTTAGTATATTCACGAGTACCCGAGGAAGCAATGAAAATTCGCTTTGATATTAACTAAACTCAATGACCCGATGTGTATTCTTTATTACTCAAAAAACTCACTCCAGACATTGTTAGCTGAAACTCAGAAGTTATTTGAAAAAGTGCAAGTACATAATAAGAATACTGATACAAACAAACACAATCAGTGAACAGATTATTTTAAAGCACATTGAGTGAGTAAATAAGAATTCTTAAATAGTACGCATTCATTATATTCATCGACATTAGCTCTAGAAACTAAATCAGAATGGTGTTGTGAAACGTTGTTATCTACTTTGAAGACCAAATAATTCATTCCAGTATATGATAATCAATATAATTGTGACAAACTAGTATGGGCTTGTTAATATCGCCTTTCACTTTTTTGCTACAATTTCCGAGTTTCGACGCTTTTAAATGTTAACAGTAAAATATATATATAATGAAATGATTGAAGTGAAGATAGAGTGTCTCGTGTCAACTATTTTACTCCAAGTAAACGACGATCAATAAACGATGAAACAAAATCCCTTATCTAATATTAGTATATTATACTAAGGCTAGCTCCGTGTATAGAGGATGATGATTAAAGCTAAATGTGATATAATTAACAAGATCACAGATGACAAAACATGTAAGAAAGTCAGATCACTTGACCCAGAAGAGATGACACGTTTAGTTGTCAGAAAGAATTAGATTACCTATGAGTATGGTAAAGGCTGCCATAGATCAAGGCAGAATTAAGCAATCAAGTTTTGCAGACGGGTCAAATTGTTCTGGAAGGAATAGAAGGGACTGCCGCCTAACAGGACTCCGCATTTGGTAGCAGTGGATCACCGACGCTTTTAGCTCTGTAACTACGTCTATTCAACGAATAAAAAAGAAATAAAAGTAAGTTATGACAAAAAGCTGCTCTTAGTCCCTGATAATATGTAAACTTTCTGTTTGAACAACTCCTGGGAAGTCACTTGGATCACCTCGGCTGGCAGACAATTCCATGGTTCAACTATTCTTAAAAGGTAAAAGGTATTTCTATATTTCAATGTGCTACGTTACATCTAAAATTTCCGGGTGTTAACGCTTAAGTTTGCGTTGCGACTGACCTCAAATAAGTATTCAAGATTGTATCCAGGAGTATTGGATGGCTACAAGCTATTAAAAATCACCATACAGGCGCCTATACTCTAACAGATAAGCATCCATTGATTAATGGCGCTCTTCCAAAGGTTTGAATTTTAGTTTTTGAACTGATTTCGTTGATCGCCGTAGGATACTCCTAATTGTATTCATATCCTTTTGAAGCGAGAGTGGAAACACTATTTTTCAAAACACAAAAAAGGGGTGAAGTAAAACTAATGACGTTTGAGTGGATAGTTCTGCCGTCAAACTGGCCAAAAATGCGCACCAATGTTATCCATGCAAGCTTTACTCGGAAAGCATTTTTACCGTAGTCAGAGTACGACCTTCTGACATAGGGTACCAAGACTGTCAGATCATTTTCCACTTAGGGTGTCTCTAGAGGGGTATTAATTAAGTTGTATGTGCGGACTACATCATGTCTCAGAAGGACTACTTTACACTTTGAAGTATTAAAAGTAAGTTCATTGTTGTCCGAAAAACTTTGAAGTCGAGTCAGATTCTTCTGAATTCCCAGAATATTATTTTACTATCGTCAGCGAAAAGTAATAAATCAGACGACACTTGGTGAAGGAGGTCGTTGATATAAATTAGGACAGGTAGTGCTCTCAATACTGAACTCTGGGGAACCCTGTAGAATTACTGTCTGGGTTGGTATTATTTTCATTTGTCTATCCTAAAAAAATAAAAGACTTACTGGACATTTATGGGTTTGCCACAATGTTACTTCCTAATCTGTCAGACCTTACCTGTATGTCACATCATTATGCATACTTACTCGTCCTACCGTGATAGCCAGTGGCTGCAGCGAAGGACTTCTAAACAATACATTTCGACTAGTAGGCGAATAATATATTTGGTACAGAAAGCAACTGCCTAAATAGAGTAGCCTGTCTGAAAGTTCAGGCTTTAGAGTACTCAATTAAGTCTTCTGCCTTCATTATGTATGACCTCTCCGTAATAAGTGCTCTATGTAACTTTTCTCAGTCATCATACTTTCGGTTTCAAGAACCGTTTATTTAAACCCCAATAGGAATGCAAACCAACTAGGACATTCTTTAGCCTTAGGAAACTTAAAGTCTACAATGACTCCGTAGAGACAAATGTTTAGATATGAGGTAACTCAGTTTATTAACAGTAACTTAGCGCATAACAATTTCAGTTTATCTAAGAGACATTTATGGTTAGCCCTAGTAAAAGCTCTTGAGAAGTCAAGATTCATAACATCAACCTTCTCCTTGTGATCGGTTGTCCGTCTGTCCACTGCAGTAAAAAAAATGGTTATACAGGAATGACGCTTTTCGAAACCGTGTCGTTAGGGTGGGGAAAAGTTCAGAGATAACTAGTAGTCACGCAGACTGCCATATATCAAGTACTTCATACTTTTTGAAAATATTACGAACACTAATTCCAGATGGTAGCTGCTTTCTGTATAGCAGAGTGAACTATATCCGTGTCAGGAGAAATATCCTTGTTCAGATGACGCAGTTTTTGGTAAACTATATCAGGACTCAGATTTACCTCTGAAAGTCTCGTTGAGATTTGGGTGAAGCTCTTATCGACTAAGTTTGTATGTGATGAGTAAAATATTGCAAAAAAGCTGCTTTGGCAACTCGGCCGTCGGGACCTAGGACCTAGCACATAGGAACCTGTGGTGTTTGAATTAACTAATGATTCTTTTGTACTTATTGAATGCTCGATTTCGAATTCCAAATACAATACATTCGTTTGTGTTTGTGTCTCACTTCCTAATTCAATTGCGTTAATTCTGGAATTCCTAGTTCATAATACAATTCCAATAATTCAAAACATTATAGAACCGCTGGTTTTGACTTGTCGAAGAGTATGCATAATCTTTTCGGATTGGAGACAAATTTACCTGTTAGCTTTATCTAATACTAGAGCCCATCTTATCAATTTTGTGATGTGGTTCCCTGCTTGATTGAACTGCCTGTATTTCCTGTCGTCACTAGTTCACCTGTATTCAACCCAGTCCTAACTTTTGAGTCTCAGTATTCGAAAAGTGCGGGTTTTAATGCCTGAAGGTTGCTTGTAACTTTTGGGGACAGTTTGCAAGACCGAATGGTTTGTAGCACGTAAGATCGTATGAAGTAAGAATTCCCGTCGAGCATGTACATGAAGTTGAGTGTGCGATTCCCAGTCCACCTTCTGTTAATTGTCTTGTAAAGCTGACACATCCAAACGTCTGAAATTCCAATCTCTGTTGCTAAAAGGATTTTTAAATCAGTTGTGCTGATAAAATTGAAGGTTATGATGATGTGATTACTTTTTTCCAAGGGAGCCAGAATTGAGCACTTGTCATTTAGAAATTCTTCGTTCGTAAATTTACAGCACAAGCGTGAAGTTTCTTAATCAAGTTGCTAACTTTACATTTCTGAATAACATGTGGTAATTAGAAGTATTTGAGTTATAGTACAAACTAGGAATCCCAGAAATAACGCAATTTAATCAAGAAGTACTAGATCAGGACGAACGAATGTAATGTATTTGGAATTCGAAATTAAGTAGTCATTAAGTACAAAGAAATGATTACTTCATACAAACATCACATCCGCCACAGCTTAAATAAGAATCCAAATTCCTGCGATCCATAGTAACTCTTCTCCTTAGGTTCATCATGTGTCTGTCCGGTTGTGTAATGGATATAGACTTTGTATGGTTTAGAATATACCCATTAGCACCAGAATTACCAACCGAAACCAGAACCGACCCACTTAAGTCCTGGTATTGTATACAATCACATGCTGATCGTGTAGTGAAATCATTGATATCTTGAATTTGAACCATAGATTTTCCAGCACTATCCCTCCTCACGAAATAATGTTGTAACGTCATATCCCCAAGTTATGAATAATGTGATTCCCTTTAAAACATACTTCTCACTTTGATTGGAGGATTCATTCGAAGTGACTTCATGATAAGTATAAACAACAGTTGACATGATATAATTCGAACTGAAATCAAAATCTAGCTCATTTAAGACCCGTGCTTCACATTGAACACGTTTCCCACAAGAAACAAATGCATTATGAGGACAAATAATATTTGATATGACATCAGTATTTTAATTTTCCTAAATATTTTCTTCAAATTCATTGTAGAATAATAGATTATTAAGAAGATCAGCATCTACCTAAACTGCATCAGAGTTTTGATCATGATTTGATTTGTTCAACATATTTCCCTCAGATTTATAAGAAATTTCATCAGAAATATGTAAATCATAATAACAAACCATATCTGGTACAATAATATCAGAGATCTAATCAGAATTTAGTGCAATCGACATATTTGTAAATAATTTCATTAGAAATACAGGAATCACGAGAAAAGTACACATCTGGCAAAGTCATATCATAAATCTGATCACAGTATGATTCATTTAAAACATTCAACTTAATCGGATCGGAGTTACAGAATTTAGCATTACATGCAGCGAAATGAATAGTAGTTTTACAAACTGCATTTAGCATTGCAAAATAAACATGAATTATATGGGTGAAATTTGCCACATGACCAACATTTGCCAAATTTGTGCTCATCCTCGTGACCTAACTTGCAAGACAGGGGAAAAGAATGAAGAAATGAAATTACTATTCAATAAAACACTGATACTAATAATTTGAAATAATGTTCACAATTCTTCGCATTTAAAATATGCTAAACACAGAAATGTTAATTCTTACGATATTACTGACCATAGAGTCATGATGATAGTGTCAAGTTTATCAAACGCTTAAGGCAGTACTATAATTTATGGACGAATCAATCAGATTTAGGATAACAGGTCTTGGATTTTGGCGTGAAATTCACTCACTTATTCGTCCGAATAGCGTCTCGGAATTTTAGCTGATGTCAGTTTGTGATGAAAACAATAAATCTAAACCCTAAACCTTACTATCAACTGTAAATCATTGTCTTTATTCTTTAAACTGCCTTATAATCTTTATTTAGCCCTATCAAGTAGGTAGACACTCTCAAGGTCACTTTGGCGTCGCTCAAAGGTCGTTCATAAATTATCGTCTCACCATGCTTAATTCTGTCTC